TTGACAGGAATTTGATTGAATCCTTTTTATTAGGTCGAAAACGGAGAATAAGTTTGCGCCTGACACAGCATCAAGACAATCTTGTATCCTTTGTAGAGGGTAGGTATCGGCCAAATATAAAAGATCTCTCGTCGTTATACCTGTGAAAAGTGGGACTGAAATATGAGTTGGAAAAATAGACGGACGAACGAAATGACGCTTGTTCTCACCACTCTAGAATTTGGATATCAGGTAAACGCGACAAATCCTAAGCTCGTCTACCAATCTTTGTTTTAAATGGAAATCGATATGCCGTCTATAAAAAAACATTTGGTGTCATATATTATTGTTTTATAATGAACACATTTATCTAACATTGATTGATTAATTGTTGGTGTTTTAACGCAACTTTTAAGCTCCACATTTTGGCTATTTCGTGGCGACCAGTTTTTATTGGAGTGCCCGGAGAAAATCACCGATCTTCGATAGGAAAACTGACAATCCTAGTCAATTAAGATTGAAGTCGAGTGCACCCGCACGAGCGGGGTTCGAACTCGCAACCTCAGTGTTGACTGGCTAGTGATTACAGTAGTAGAACTACTTAGACCACTTGGCCACCGAGGCCCCTATCTAACATTGAGTATTCATGTGTATTAATGAAAAATATTAATGAAGCTTATTTATTATATCAAAATACGTCTCCTTCATGTTTCACTATCGTGCAATGATTTTGCAATTTTTTTAAGTCACTGTTGTCTTCTTTATTTTCACAAATTACTATCACAAGACTTCTTTTTATTGGAAGCACTGCCAACTGAAGATGCATGTGATTTCCTGTTTATTTTTGTAATCTATACGTATTGATTTCATATTGTATGTTCGGAATCTTCCCATGGTATATGTTTTCATATACCTCTTAATATCTCCATCAAACCACTTGTGTTTAAATTGGTATCATGACAATACTGTGTGAAGTCACAACGCTGTACCGTGGCAAATACTACAAACATGCTTCAAACCATGCGAAGATGCTTCAACGTAATATTTCCCACCTGCATATATGTCTGACCTTTCAATTCCGAACAAAAATGTAACCACATAACACCCAGCAGTAAATATTCTAAGCCTCGGCACTGCAGAATCAGTCACTTGTATATACATGGAAATTGTTTATACACTATTGGATAATATGACAGCAGTACCACTTAAAACGGGATTTCAGGAGAAAGAATTAATTATAGTAATAATGGTTATTGATACAAGTATATTAACTGTATTAGGCATCTAGCACAATAGTCAGGATGTATTTCAATTTTTTGAACTGACTACTTTTTTTCAAGACCATTTATTCATCATGAAGGAAATTTCATTTTATCACCAACTGTGTGGACATTTTACCTCAACCACACTGTATGTTCTAACAAGTCCACATAAGGATGCTGAGCTCCCAAAAAATTGGTAGTGGTGAGAAATAGCTAATCTATATTTTTCTACCAATATTTTATAATGTTGTTGAAATTGTTTTAAGGCTTTGCTTTTATACATTTTTCCATGAAAATACTGTAGCTATTTTTGGCTTTTAAATTAAATAACGAGTCACATAGTTTTTTATGTTTCTTCTTGCTTTGATTTTGGTGCTGTAATTCTCCACTGTCGAGTCGTAACCCATTCCTTCTTGTCTTTTCAGTTGCCTCTACTCTCTTTTCTGTGACCAAACAATATGTAATTGATATTCTGAAGTCGGTGAATTGACTATGCTTATAATTGATTCATTGCTCAAGATGTAATTCCATTTCAGTAACCTATTTTGTAATAGCAGGAATGTTTATTAAGAATTGAATTAACATGTCAATGAAAGGAGATGTAAACGTGTAGGTGATATGTTAATGAGAAAGAAACCAAGTAACAACAATACAGCAAATGTGATCTAGAGATAAACATATAGCATTCAACAATTAAAACACTTTTCTAATGGTGTGAATGTATTTTTTTTTACAAGTCAGTTGTTTTAAGTTTATTTGGTTATTGTTTTGTCTTCAACTATTTTTTTTAAATTTTTTTTCTGTTGACATAAACACAATGATAACTATTAATGAAATATTAAGTAAATTATCAGCCAAAAAATCGGTGTTTAAATCATCAGAAAAAGAAAACTCTTAACAACAAAACGTTAACGCAATGCAAAAATATAAATATGAAAATTACGATTCAGTTGTACCAATTTGAATAAAATCTGACCAGAAATTATCCCTCTATATTTTTTTTGTAAAAACTGAAATGATACGAAATATATCTTTAATTTCTAACAAAGGGACATCATCTCAATTTTTTGGGCAGACACATTTTTTATTGACGGCTATTTTATACTGAAGATTTTATTGTACATCGAGGTACATATCAATCAGGGTTTTTTTCTCAACTTGATGTAAAATTTGACGGCCTCCGTTAAATTTATTCACTGATTTTCATAATTTTGAGCTTGTGTTGTATAGATTCATGTCTGTTTTTAAGACGGTTAGTGGTCTTGTATTTATAAATGATATGTTGTATAATTGCCTATATAGGAATATTTTCAAATAGAGAAAAGTTAACGTATAAATTAGTAACTATAGGTCACCGTACTGCATCAACAATGAGCATAAAACATATACATAACAAGTTATTCGACCCAAACGAAACAAAAAATAAATGCACACAAAACGAATAGCATATATAACGCACGACAACAAACGTCAACTACTAAATTTTAGGCTCCTGACTGGGACAGGCACATACAGAGTTTGGCGCGTTTTAACATTTGCGAGGCCCCCTCCACCTTATACAATAGACAATAGTTTTACAGCAAAACATAATACAATTTGAAAATCTGTTGACAAATCTAGACTTATTAGATCGACACAAAATCTAACAAAACAGACCAAAAAATACCGATCTTGCAGTTACTCTCAAAAGTTAATACCATCTTAATAAACGAATCGTGTATCTAAGACTAAAAAAGTAGGTTTTTTTGTCTGTGTATGTGTTTATCGGTTGATTGAACATCTCCAAAATATTATTTTAATTATGTCATGTAAACTTTACAAGGATCGATTTACGTAAACATGGTAAACAGCTTATTGAGTATTGTTTATATTTCAGACTATATAGAATAGAAATAGCATTTATTATTTCTATAGTGCATTGATCTAAATAAGTTAACAAGTTAAAGTAAATATGCTGGGTTTTTAAATTAATTAAAGAATTACTTAACTCTTTATACGCTATTTATTATGCCTTGCAAAACAGTAACTGTTTGACAATAGAAGCAATTATACTCTCGATATTTTACCTGCTACCAATCTTTTCGCACAAATTTCCTGTAATTAATTACGTTCCTTGTTACTTTTACTGAATATGTTAATCTTTTCTAATTTGTGTAAATATTTGTTAACTTATTTATTATTCTAATTTATGGATGAAAGAAAGTTTGTTGTTTTGTTTTTTTTAATCAATAAGATTTCCGTACAAAATATATATCTTAAATGGAAGTTCTAAAGAGTATATATCAATTATCTATTTCTATGTGAATATTCTACAATGGTCACTTATCAATATTGCTGCCTAGATTTAGTTCATGAATAGTTTCTCTTTTAAATATTATGGGGCAGCAGTTCTGATAAGGAGTCGGCAGACAATTTTCAGCTAGGTTAACCTTTTTGTAGATCTTTACTTTCGAATAGTTTTCGCAAAAAAATATATGTATCTGTAACAGTTCTCGAGGTGATAGGCACAAACGCAAGAAAACATGATACACATCTGCAATGAATAACTACTGCAAGGTGTCGACGAACGATATCGGCTTTCCGAATTTTTTGGACCTCAGAGCTCTTCGACTTCGTTCTTTATCGTGCCTTTTGGATTTTGTGGTTCGATCGTCTGGCGTACAAAATTTTAATCGTGGTATATATCACGAGTTTATTGTTTACTCATTTCTCTTAGTCTTTTTTTTTAATAGTGAAAGATAATTGACATAAGCACAAAAATTGTCATTTCAGGAAAATAGCTTCTTTGAGGAGACAAGTACCAATTTCTGTCCGTGTTGGCATGTTTGAAGATTTTGCTGATCATTTATCAAATATTGGTAAACAAAGGCATCGTTAATTAAGGATAGTGATTTCTAAAGGGAGTCAACTGACAAGCTTGGCAATTTATGACTTTTTCAAGAAAATAGGCAAAAATTGGCAAAATGGTAAAATTAGTCATTAAGGGCAACAACTACATGAATGATAAATGGCCCGACCATTTTGATGTAAATGGACACTAGGTTGATCTCAACATTTTGAACCTTTCTTCCTGTGTCACTTTCTCTTTATTCATAACAGTTAGCAAGCTAATAGACAAAGTCTATACCTTTTTTGTTCTTTTTTAGCCATTTTGGTTAGCATGCTATCTGTACTATTTTCTAAATATTACCAAAAAGGATTTTGCCAAAGTTTGATTTCAAATTGGCGAAGTAGTTACAGAGAAGGTGTTTGTAAAGTGAGCGAACGACGGACTTAAAGTGAAGAATAGCTTTGGGCCAGGTGAGCTAAAACGAATGGATTTGATTGATTCCGTGTTGACTGGTTAATGATACAGTAGTTTGACTACTATGACCACTCGGTCATCGAGGCCCTTAAACTAATTGAAGATTTCAGAATATTGGGTTATTTCCTGATAGCTGCATTTCTCTGTCGATTTTTTTTGTCTCGAGGACGATGTTTCCGTCATTTGATTGAAATATTAAATCACCATAATAAGACTTAAACACCGCACATTGTCGGAAAGTTCTTTAATCGTCACACAAAGCTAAATAAATACCCTTTACAAATGTTAAGATTGATTAAGTATACTTTCGAATCGATTGAAGCTGTCTGCGTATTTACTTTTTTTTGGCTCCATTTTAATGTTTACGTGTTATGTTTTATTGACAGTCTGTAATAAAATAAGGAATTCACGTAATCATTTTTAATTCTGTCCAAATTCAGCTTACATTATATCAGAGGAGTAGTTTACAATGCGGAGTATTATTTTTGTTTTCAAATTAATTTATGTTTTATATGTTGTTGCATTGGATTCAGAAGAATGGAAATTAATATTTAAAGCAGCCACTGGAGGTAAGATAAAATAAAACAATAATATTTTAAGAATCATTTGATGAAAAATATGACGGTTATTATTGAAGTCATCACCATCATAATAAATCAACGGTATCGTGGTAGCGTAAAAAGAACGATAATTAGTGTTATTATAATTCACCTCAAAATGCCAGATTTGATTGGTTAATACGAGGAAGACAATTTATTCTATCCTATGGTAAATTCTCTATAACCCTTCACGGAGACGCTTGATCAAGTGTGCGCTTTATAAAATATGGATGGTTGTTATGTACAAGACGTCATAATTCATTACTTTGAATTTGAAATTTAATAGACAGTAATAACAGAACATTCAGTATAATAAATTAAATAACACATATCTGAGAGGGTGATAGAGCAGATTGTTACCGCCCCCGAAAATACATTGTCAACCTTGGCTTCGCCTCAGTTTACAATGTTTTCTCGGGGTAACAATCTGCTCTATCACCCTCTCAGCTATGTGTTTTTTTTTATGTAAAATGAAATGAAACTAAATTTTGGCAAACCTTTACACAATGTGTAATGCATGAAAAGAATAGTGTTCAACCATAATATATACCTTGCAATTGACAATGTTTACGGGAGTTATGGGACTTTTACCATTTTTAGAGTAATGTAACAATGACACCTTGTTAACGAAATTCCTCCAAGACCATCTGATAGAGAGTTCCTATATTTGGTAAGATTGTGAGGTATCGTCTTTTTATCGTATTATTTTGTTATTTTGATTTCACAAATTTCGCATGAGTTATTGAACTTTGAGCATTGTTTGGACTACCTATCAACTACAATGACATTTTGTATACGCATCTCCCCTGGGGTAGTTTGGTTGAAAACTCTCATACTTGGCAAGATTGATAGCCACCATATGTAGTTGACCATATTTAACGGTCATTTAGATTCTACCCTTTTCGGGCGTCAATGGACTTTGACCAAAGTTCACGCTTGGTCTTTAGTTTTCCTATAGTGTTTTGTGTATTGCTGCTTGTCTATTGAATGCAATTATTATTTACACTCCGACACAAAATAATGTGTAAACTTTGGAAAATTAAGCGTTCCTAGTAAATGTAAATCCAGAAAAGCGCCTCAGACGTACAAAATGTAATGTGTTATTTTTATTTGTAGGCAATGGAAGTGTGTACGAGCTATTTACCGGTCCGGATATTCTAAATGTGGATAATGCACAAGCACAATCGCTAGTGCAACCAGTAAGGGAGCATTTTAAGTCGGACATTGTTAACCAATGGTCAAAAATCGGTATTACAGAGGTATTTACTTGTAACTATTATTAAACTAAATTCCAGCATATGAATAATGTTTCAGTTGTCGTTTGTTAATTTGTGTGTTTTTTTTTTTTTCTCTCACCTGAATAATCGAAATTCAATCATAGCGTCATAAATTCACACAAACCCTTCCAAGAACTGTTCAACAGAAAAAATAACCGTCAAGCTTTTTCTGTTTTTTATCTTAAATTATGAGATTGAACTACAGTTATCTCCTCCACATTATGCATTAAGATTTCACTCAGCAATATATAGTTATGTGTTTTAATTATTTCTTATGGTCAGTAGCAACCAATTAATAAAACAATCTGCTCTTTTTTGCATCGTGTTAAATTTATTTCTGTATTCTACGATTCAATTTTTTTATGGAAAATTGAACCATAATTGTATAAGGATTTATTGGACAGATGAATGGTCATCCCTTAATATATTTAATAGAGATACGTCGTTTTAGTGTTTAACTTCTTTTGCCTCTAACAATCAAACATCAGCAAGAAACTGAAACTGGTTCTACAGCTTAAAGTTCATGCGATTAAGATGATTTATAACCAAACATAACTAAGTATCGAAACCTTCATTCTACTGATGATGTTTTACCTTTTTTAATCCCGATTTACAGGTCCTTGTTAGAATACATAACAATGGAGAGGAGGTTGCGTTCTTTATGTTTGACGGAGTAGGCAGCAACAAGACCAACTGGTTCAGTCTTGCGCGTTTAAAACAGTCAAGTTATGCTGATTTATACAACTCTACCAGCAATGTTGCCGTAAATTTTTTCAGCATAACCGGGTAAGGGAGGTTAAAAATATTGTTAATTCTTGTACTACCTTAAATATAATTTGAGTCGAATTGATAAAATATTGACCACTGTGTAAATCAGGAAAACATTTTCAAATTCCATTACTTGTCTTGATCTGTGAAAACCAGACAAGGGTTCCAATTGTGACTTTATTCAGAAAAGACAGATTTATACATTGATGCCTGCTGCATGCCCTCCTATTGAAGTTCACCAGATTTCCTCAGCCTCTGTTTATTACCTTGAGATCTGTCTCCTCGATTTATGAGATTTGAACATCGGTAAGCTACTGTTGCTTTTAATTAAAGTCCTCGAACGAAAGATATGTCATACTAATACATCTACGAAATATTTATTTTCTATTCAGTTTTAAAGTTGTGGGTCACTTCGATAAAAATCGAAAGCAAAATCTTTAGGTCCATAACGATGGAGTAAGTACAACAACAAAAAAAGAATTCTACGCCATCTTAAAATTTCCCCAACGTAGCTAAAAAAAAACATTATATTTCTGTCGGGGTGTGGTTTAAAACAAATGTTTTGTAAAAAAAAAAGTGAGTGTCCTTGGTTGTTTTGATCATTTTTAAAAGAGAAATATGCATTTAAAGGGGCATTTGCCGTCAAATTCATTATCACCCATTTGACATAATTATGGTTTTAGCTGGATATGAATAACTTCTTACTTGGCTCACTTGTTTCACTATCCAATGTTGACATTCTTTTCTTCTTTTAAATAATTGAACAGGCTTAGGGCATGCAAAACCAATCGTCAGCTGGCGATCAAGTTTGGGTTACATGAATGCGGGATCAATGAGGTGGAATTATTGACATACAAGTCAATAATACATTTGCGATGTTTTCGATCATATTTTGACAAAATTGAACTAGACCAAACTGACTGCTCGTACCGAAATAATCTTTCATTATTCCGCTATCAGAAAACAATTGTATTATTATTTTAAATTCGCAGATAATGCCCCTTTAATTTAATCGGTATTTAGTTAAATTATTTTGCAAGATATAATTGTTTTCAGACTTCAAGTGCCATCACTTATCTATCGAACCTTTTACATCAACTCAGTATGGGATGGTTGCCCAAATGACACTGGTTGGCTAAATATTTTTGATGAAAACAGCATATTTGGTTGTCCTGTGTGGGAGGAAGTATACTTAACACAAGTACCAGCTATACTCTATAGTCCACTCCAAACACTGGTAAATTACGAAGAAGGTAAGTTTTAAGTAAAATGAAACAAGTTTCTGATGATGATAATATATAGAAAATTATTGAATCGATGCATGCACATATGCTAAATTTACATTTTGTTTTATTGGTTCTTCCTTCATAGTTTGTTTACGTTATCTCTAATCTTTGTGTTTTCCTTCGCATATGCACTATTTGAATGTCATTCTAATGAGATGCGCCATGGATAAGATAGGTGCATACGGAAAAGCTTTTGTAACTTTGTACGGGAAGACAATAATTCAATAGTAGTACATTTCTGAAGATTTAGATAAAATAAAGGATTTGTTTTATATTCAGGTATCTAAAACATATTCAACGTTTTTGTTTACTTGAAATGATAAAGACTTTACGAAAATTACAATTTCCTATATCTCCGTCAGAAATTTACATTTGAACTTTTGTTTTATATCTTATATTTAATACTTTTATAAACGCGTCTTGCGTGCCAAATTATAAGGCTGCTATATTGGATGAGTATTTGAAACCACTGGGTCGATGACATTGCTTGTGGAAGTTTTTTTCCCGCGAGTATCACCAGTCCATTAGTCAGCACTTTTTTGTTGACATGAAATATCATTTATATCTTCATATTCTGTAAATTTACTGTTGAATAACAAACAAGTTTTTTGTAACCTAATAAATAGATTGGCTAAGTCATATTTGACAAAATGTTTAGGAATTTTCAGTTTTTAATGCTCTTTAACTTCGTTTCTGATTTTGAACTGAAGCCTGAAATCTTTAAAGAGTTTTTGAATTTAAAATGCACCTTTAACCGATTTTTCTAATATAACAAATGAAAAAAAGCATTTAGTACAGTTCGATTTCAATTTTGTTGATTTGTCGTTCGAGGATTTTGGGATTTTAACCGTTAGACTAATGGTTTCCTGATGAAGGTTTATTCCGAAAAACTATTCGGACGAACGTTTTTAAAAAAGTGTTATTTTCATTAATGGCTACTTTTTAAATATTGTGCAAAAACTCCAGTACATGTATGCTCCGATTGATTTCTGCAAAACTTTGACTGTGTTGTAAGGCTCCCTCTCTGTTTTAGCGAATTTTCTGTTTCGTCAATCCACAGTTACGGGACTTTCACTGTCCGATTTAACTACTTTTTTCAAATTTTGTTCCATACCTTGATTATGCTTAGTTTGATATTTGGAAACCGTACACAGCTGTTGCAATTGGAATAGTAAAACATGTAAAATGCCTTAGAAGATGATTATTTAATTTATTTAACATTCTAGGTTTACGGAACTTAAACCATAATATCTGGGTTTTTTTATCATTTCACACTTTAGGTCAGTATGCTTAAATAAATTTTCTTCAAAATTTACCCGTTTAAGGTTGTGAGTGTTGATTTTTTAAATTTTCTTGTTCGTCGTTCCAGAGTAATCAAATGTATTGAAGGCAATATTCATACGCCTTAGAATATCTCCAAGCAAGTTTCCTACGCAGCGATTTCACTTACTTCTGATGATTACATTAACAATTCCAATGTTACAGCATTAAATGTCTTCAGTGAAGCTCGAACGCAGATATTTTAAATGATGACTTCTAAATTTTCCCCCTAATTCTGGAAACAATTGTAATATGCACAAAATAAAAATCATTAAGCATAACAGGCTTATGATTTAGTATATTGGATCCGCGTTTATCCCAAATGAGACGCGTGAGTGGCGCTCGAATCAAAAACAGTTAAATGACCAAATCAAATACGATTTTTTTTTTTAAATCCGAAAAGGTACTAGTATTGCGTATCACATGTATCACACCGTCTTTTCGCAGCTGCTAATTTATATAAATCTACTAGTTATTCAATTTTAATCGTTTATGTAAATGACGAATATACAAAAAATATGTGAATCTGCATTTCAAGCATTTTGGTTTATGAAACAGGAAACAGGATTTTGCAACGGAATTATTTAAGTCGGGTCAGTTTTAGTCAGCGCATGGTAGCAGACATTATAAAAATAACAAATTTAGGCATGCGCTGTATTTGTAAATTCAATGGAAATTTGACTATTAATTTAACCTGGTCAAAGATTTAAAATATGTGAGTTTGGCGTCATATCTAATGCTGATCATTAAATTGTCAAAAACGCATATATTTCGTATATACCCAACGTTGAAGAATATTTGTGATGGTCGCCATTAAATAATGACTTGTAACTAAAACTAGCAATACGGATGCTATAGTGATAAATATAATTGCATCTACTCTTTTGAGTTTGTAACCGTTATCATTATTTTTTTACAGAAGCCACTGCTTTATTAGCTGAAAGTATGACTGTATCGGTTAGATGTAAGTTTATAAAGGACATGTGTGAATACATTCAACAGATGTAAAAACTCCTCAATTATTGATGATTGACTGTAGGTTGCTGAACGTCCAGTTACTAATATTTCATGCATTTTCAGGACAAGAACATATTAACAATTAATACAATGGGTTAAGGTCCTGTATAATAGATGCCTTCCGAGATAAAGGTCTGGGAAAGGACTGCCACTGGAAAATGAAGGTATATTTGACAGGGACAAAAATTTCACCTTAAAAAAGGCCACCTACGGACCACACAAAGAGCTATTGCATAGCTTCTGAACGTTCAAAGAGCGTGGCACTCTCTTGACAAGAAGCCTCGGATTTAACGACCACATTCTGACCGGACGTGGCTGCGTACTTGTACATCCCTCACAGCTAAACGTCGCACTGTGGCAAAGGTAACTGCCGGTCGGAAGAAGGCATAGGTGACCATATGTGTATCCCCTTACTCACCCTCGAGGGTAAATCATCAATTACCAGGCTTATTAATTGGTAACCATCAAAACGCTCATCGGTGGCGCACGAAACCAAACAGTTGCGAAGGCAAATCAAATATTACGTTTGAAATCCATTAATACCAGAAAATTCAGAAAAGATGTGCTAAATACGTAAACCATGATCTATCATCAACATCGTCATTAAAGGACAATAACTTAAATAAGGAGTCGTCTGACATGTAGATCTCGTCTTGAAGATCATATTTGCTATTTAAAGTTTCTCACCATCTTTTACACTTTCCAGAAGAAAAAAAACCATAAAAATAATGTAAAACTTATTATTTCAAGGCAAAAGGTCCTATAACACAATGAATTAGTATGATAAGAAGTCTTCTGGCAGTAGACACATCTCAACATTCTTGACAGTTCTACCCTGTCAGAATTTCTCTATAGTGGTTTTCTAGATAATAGACAAAACTTACATTTTACCCCATTTTAAGACATGGCGGCCATTTTGGTTTGTTTAAATGTAGCCCAGTAGTTTCAACAAGCAGGCAACATTGTCGACTTGTGGGAAAAAACTATCATTATTATGTACGATTTTTTCAATTAACATTAACATTTATTTCATATAAATCATGGCAGTTGATAGAAGTAATATGACATGCGTTCGAATGTGTTCTACGCCAGTGCAGCAGGATGCATCTTCCTATTGTTACAAACCATGTGATTCCCCGAGTGTTATCGACGTGGATCAAAAAGTAAAACAACTAAAGGAAAAATTAACAGTCGATAGAAAGAGTACATCAAGTAGGTATTTTTGGGAAATCGATTTTTTATAGCATTTTTAAACTTCAAGGTCGTCTTTTTTCTTATAAAAGTAAAATGACTGTTAAAAATGCTGACGTAAATAAAATCTGATTAATAATGCATTGCAAAACAAATGCGTTTAAAGATTGTTTATAGATTGTTAAACGTTGATTTGCTATTTTTTTTAACAAAAATCAATTTGGTATATATTTAACTACAACTTCATTTTAGGGATGTTCGCTGCTTTGATTCAAAATAACAAGCTTTTTAAAAGTCTTATAAATTGATAGTATATATTAACGGAACACATGCAGACGACAAAACACAAGGTTCGAGTCCTTTACAACGAACGAGGTATTTGTTAACGACCTTGACTACATATTAGTGTCTTGCACGGTCAGCAGCTCCGCTGGAAATTTTTCTCTCCAGATTTTTCCATATATTTAACATTGGCAGTTTTTTAATGGCACTTCATGAATACAACCAGTGGTTTTCGAATATCTTACCAAAAGTAAAAAAAAAAACCTGATTATTGAACATCCCAAAAGTATTGTTTTAAACGTTTGCCTATTTCAATGAAAATAAAATAAAATAAAAACAATCTAAATCAATAATCTGTTTACCTCGTTATGCACTATTTAACCTTTTATAATACAAGTAAATATGTTGGCATTAAAGTACTAGAGAAATATCATAGACTCCGAAAAACCGCAATTTTCATCTTGTGTCAGCGTCATGTACATGTATATCACAGTTTGCAGTTCGTATACAAGTAATAGCGTCTGAAGCGATTCAAAAAAGAGGGAGACGACACCAACCAAGGGTGCAATAAAAAAATCACACGTCAAATAAAACATAGTAAATCAAAAAAGGCAATAAACACTTAGAAGGATGATGCCCAAAGATATCGATATTTATGGATGTATTAGACAGAAGATAAGCATGAAAGTCTCAAATGTGGCTAAAATTAATGCCTAATAGTTTTCAGGACAACACAATATTTATTATGTATTGATTGATTGTTGGTTCCTTAACGTCCAGTGTCAAATATTGCATGCATGTACAGGCCGATATCAAATATGCAATATATACAATAGGTAGGTCCTGTTATAGAGGCCGTCTGGGATGAAATTTATACTGGCATTGGAAAATGAGGGTCTATTAGATAAGAACATAACTTTTCTCTTGAAACAGACCACCAACGTATCTCTCAATGATTTGTTGCAAAGGTTCTTAACGTGCAGAGAGCATGAAGACACCCTCTCTAGACTAGACATCGGATTTAACGTCCCCATTCTGACTGGACGTGGTTGCGTACTTGTACATCCCGCACAGCCAAATGGACGCCCAACTTCGGAAATATGTATCAAACCAAATGCATGTATGCATTGCATATAATTTACATCCATACTAGTGTAAGCTTAAAACAATCCATATTAAAGCTTAATCCAAAACTGATACGAAATATTAAAGCATATCCATTTTTTTTCTTTCAGTGTATAAAAGATCTTTAAAGTGTGTTTATGAAAACAGAACATCAGCAAAAACCATGGGAATTATGGGAGCTGCAATTATCGGGTCTGTTATCGGATTGTTTGTGTTCCTCGATTGTTTAAGATGGAAGCAGGGAAATGAACAATAAAACTTGGATACTAGTGTTAATAAAACTGTAGTAGGCTATAGAAATCATTGTATTCCCCAAATTCACCGCATTCAATATTTCTTTACGTTTATTATTGTTTATCATAAAATTGAGAATGGAAATGGGGAATATGTCAGAGAGACAACAACCCGACTGACAACAGCCGAAGGCCACCAATGGGTCTTCAACGCATCGAGAAAATCCCGCACCCGTAGATGGTCCTCAGCTGGCCCCTAAAAACATTGTGTACTAGTTCAGTGAAAATGAACGTCACACTAAACTCCAAAACATATAAATGAACTAATATTAAAAAAACATACAAGACTAACAAAGGCCAATGGGACAGGCGCAAAAATACGGCGGGGTTAAACATGTTTTGTGAGATCTCAACCCTCCCTTATACCTCTATCCAATGTAGAATAAAGAAACACATAGCAATACGCACAGTAAAACTCAGTTTAAAAGAAGTCAGAGTCCGATGTCAGAATAGGTAACAAAAAAAACTAAGCAAAATGACAATGATACATTAATGTACAAAGGACTACTAGCAGTTACTGACATGCCAGCTCCAGACCCCAATTAAACTGATTGAAAGATTATGTCTTTATCATATGAAAATCAAGTACAATCCCTCCCATTAGGGGTTTAGTATCATACCATCATAAAATATATGAGAAGAACATAACCCGTATCATGCCAACAACTGGTTTTAGAATAAATGTGTTATTTCCGATGCAAAGACCCTATGAGTGAATCAATATTAATACCACAATATGCAATCCTTAATGACTTTACAACAGTATCGTAACTATATTTTTTTTATCATGTTTTTCCATGTTTTACCTGAATACATATCATATCATATTTCATATGTCATTTTATACCACATTGACGCTTGACGAATGACAAACTCAAATCAGGCACACCTTTCTACCGGCATGCTTTCACGTTACCGCCAATCTCTTTTAATCTGTAATATACCTGTTTTGTATTCTGGTCTTGAATCCTGCAAAAAGATGTATGTACCTTTATATATCTATTGAATAAATATAAATATGCACTTATGAATTACCTGAATAGACATATGGGAATAATATCCGGCGCACGAGTTTAGCTGATCGTTTTTACGGACGGGAAATTTGGAGTTCCTAAAATGATGAAACATTTGTATGTTAGAAAGGGGACAGAAACTAAGTCTTCGAACAGGCCACTATAAGAGGCAATTTGCATCAGTGCCGGTATAACGTACCGTATAAACATTTTGCATCATATGACTAGTAACCGAGTTTATTCTTACTTAAGAATCAATGCGTTAGTTTTTCCCACCTTTACCGTTCATGGCGTGAATCTTCACTTCTGATGGTAAAGTTGCCCAAAAGAGTGACTGGGAATTGAAATATGGTCACTACAGGTCTTCTTTCGACCGGAATAAAACCCTTACCAAAGTGGGCCGTCCGTTAAGCTGTGAGGTATGCAAAAGAACGTAGCCACGTCCGGTCACAATAGTTCAATCCGATGTAGCGTGAAGAGAGTGCCACGCTCTCTGCAAGTTAAGAGCCCTGGTAACTGTCAGGGTTCCGTAGATGGCCTATTGCAAACCAAAATGTATTTCTTTATCCATTAAACAATTGGATTTTTTTATGGCAGTCTTAATTTCCTCGAACTTCATCCTGGGCAGCTTCTACACCAGGACATATTGTATTTATTGTTAATTTGTTCTCGTCCTACAAAAATGCACGAAATATTTGCAACTGGACGTTAAGCAACCTTCAATTATGGTATAGTTATTCGTATTTCTTCCGTTGGTTTAGTATTGAGTGTCCACCAACCAAAATTATGTTTTACAAACCACACTTTCACACTGCTTCCTTATTTTGTAGGTGTTTGGTGGGGGTACATTAATCAGAGCTGATTCGTCCGCATAAGAGACTCTAGTAAGACAAAAGATAAGAGCCATATCAAAAACATATTAGCAGAGTTCAGCCATGACGTTTGCAAAGAAATAACTTAAAAAAAATAAACGTTTAAGCTTTTATTATTATCGTGTGATAAAATTAGAAATACAGCAATATATTAAGTGCTCTCAGCATAGCGAAATGAGGGTAAATTTGATTTAAACAGACATTTTGCCTTACTATAGGACACCTAGAGATCCCTAGTAGAGTTGTTGCAAGGGTTTTTCACGTGCAGAGAGCGCGGCACTCCATTTACATGAGCCCGGATTTAACGTCCCCATTCTGATCGTACGTGACTGCGTACTTGTATATCCCGCACAACCAAACGGACACTACAGTTTGGGAAGGGTTTTACTACCGGTAGGAAGACCAGAGTGACAATGTCGCCTGTCATCCTTTGGGGTAATGTCTTTTGCCATATCTTTGAAGGTTTATAACATGAGATGCATGTTTATTTGTACAGGGAATTACTAGAAAAATGTGTTTTTTAACTCACAGATATATCATGTTAAGGAGGGGTATTTGCGAAAAATACCAGTCGAGAGAATGTTAAATTTCGCGAGCCGTAAGGCGAGGGAAATTCATTCTCGAGACTGGTATTTTTCGCAAATACCCCTCAAGAACATGCTATATCTGTTTAATTACACCGAATGTTAACGTACAAAACGCATTGATGATCGTGACATAAAACGCATTGATGATCGTGACATAAAACGCATTGATGATCGTGACATTACAAGCGTCCAGTCGGATAGAGTATTTTTTGGCAAATACCACGGCAGAGAGGGTAAAAAAGGCATATCCTTTTTGCATATACCCCGGCGCTGTTTAAAAATGAACGATATTTATTTGATAAAAGTAAATTGGTGAAAAACACACTGGCTATCAACCAATTAAAACCCAGGATTCTTACATAAGGTGTAATTAAAATAAAAATATAAGCATGAGATCACCAAAAATATAATTTCCCATATATTTCTATTTCCAAGGTACATTAGTCTACAAAGACCTTGTTAATACAAGCCTTTGATTTCCAAGGAGCATACATTATTGAACGGCACTGATTTTGAACTTGTTCCGAGACAAAGCTGATGTAAACCTTTGTTATTAGTTTTAGACATATTTGATAAAAAAAAAATGTATTATACATAAGAACGCCGACTAGACCGGAAAAATGGACGCCATGGATTGCAATATCCTCCTCACAAAGTTGCGCTGGTGACAAATATAAATAAAAAAAGGAAACATTTTATGGAGTATGTGGAGGCGTCCAGGTAGAAATATCCAACATCGGTATTGTCTCGAGGATATCGCTTCATGCTTACGAGTAGACTCTTTCTTGTTATATTTGAAGGCGTCTACTCATCGAAACTGAACGAGTTTGAAAGTCAAAATATCTGAAACGGTAAAGGTGGAAAAATGGGAGATCTTTAATCCATAGGCCCAGGAGAGCCTAGTACAATTATCAGTCATCAATTCTAGTCGTCCTTCGTCCTATGTTAGATCCAATCAAATTTGAGTGAACGTTTCCAATCATCAAAAATTTCGATGAGTTCAATAACTAGAAATAGTAAAATAGGCTTCTTCTTTTGCCTGTGTCGCGGACTTAAAAACGTTCGAAGCTAGGTAGAGAGGTAGGCTATTCCGTATTTGGTTTAAATAGAAATGGCAAGTTAGAAATTGCTGTTATTTGAGATCGTATACTTCCATGGAATTTGCAAAATTTATTTATTTAGACCAGTATATGCACTTCAACTGTCTGTAAATATTTTGCCTCCCAGTTGAACACGTTTTTGTACTAATGATTGATGATTTTCGGTTGCTTAAGGATTTTCGCTACTCTGTTTCAAAATAATAAGCTTCTTAAAAGACTGTTTTAAATTGATAGTATATAAATAAAGGAACTAAAAAAACCCAGAAAAAATGAAGGGTCTTTGCCTTTGATCTGACAACGGTGACAATAACATTTGCCTGACAATGTGTTATTGTCTGTGTGCTTATTTTCGAGATATAAGCCATTGAATATTTGGCGGAAAATAATTCTTTCTAGACTGTTCATACATTTAACATTGGTACCCATTTTCTTTCAAAAATTATGAAAAAGTAAAGATTTTATAGGATTTTCAAATATGGCTTTTTAAACTATATGTAATAAAATTATGAAAACAAAAGTAGGGGTTGATGGGGAAATTTTTTTTAATGGCACTACATACATAAAACCAGAGGATTCCGAATATCTGGCAAAAATTTAAAAACAAGAGGAGCGAACATCCTTAACGTCCAGTGACAAATATTGCAAGTTCAGAACGAGAACAAGTTAACAATAAATACAATATAGGTCCTGCAAAAGACGCCATCCGATATGAAGGTCAGGAAACTTGATGAGGTATCTTTTTTCCTTACATCCCTGTCAGGTCTACCGATTTCAGCACATGTAGCATCCATTGGCGAAGGGAAACATTCACCTAAACTTTTTTCTGGTTGATAGGTTTTATTCATGTGATAATGGTACGTTAGGACTTTGCCCTTTGATGGTAGCGCTCCTGGTCACTATTTTTTAACAGGACAACTAATTCTTTGGCAAGTTGTTCCGGGGTTGTTTTGTTATGGTTTTTGTGGCTTTTGTCAGTTGCTAATATTTTCTGATTATCATCTGGCTGTATTTACGGAAAAAGCTATTTCAATTGTTTTGAAGAGCGTTCTTTTTCTACTATGCCTTGAAATGTAAAATGCATTGGGTCTATGGGTACACGGAAATTGTCAGGCAAATGTTATTGTCACCGTTGTCAGATCAAAGGCAAAATGAACAAAAATTGATAAGCGATAAACAAATAAATAAGTACATAAATATTAAAATTGAAAGTAACCCATTGATACTAAACACGATTGCTGCGTCTTAACGAAATAACCCCATTAAGGCAGTTCATAACATCTTTATAACAATTATTAGCAGAAATCGTTTTTCAAAATCTTTATTTTGGTCATTGCATGAAACTATTCATTTGACAGTGCATTAATAAATGTAAAGACTGTCCTTACAAGTTACAATCTGAATTATGAAATATTACGATGAGGGTGGTAAAAAGGGGGAAAGGGGGGGGGGGGGGGTCTGAACACGGAAACACGTGAAATTAAAATCACAGTGTTTGTGAACAAGGCCATGTGAATGGCCAAACAATGCTGCATGGCCCTATGCTTTCATTATAGCAAACAATTGAGCTACATTTGTACTTTAATGAATGATATACAAAATTAAGCTATTAAATTTATAGGCTTTTTTCTCTATTCTTTATATGCTCAATTCTTTATTTTTTAAGCAACCTAACATTCTCTATTTTACATTTTTTTGGTTCATTTTTCTCCAATTTTTTTTCACCCATTATCCTCTTTCTGTAAACTGTCATCCATACAGACCCTCAATAGACATACATGCCAACTTTTCAACTTAAATGCTCTTGATATCATATTATTTACTAGCCAATTAATTTTCCTAAATAAGCATGTTTCTAATAAATTAGAAATTTTAGAGCATATTAATTTGCTACATAATATGCTTTATCGTGTTTATAAAGAATTTCAGGAAACCCGAGGGATATTTTTACATGTTTTAGAAGTAGGTGATTTCTGGAACGTCATGTTTCACCACTGAGTGAAAATTGGTATGTAGAAGGTGAAACATACACAATTCAGGATATACATTCTCGTGACGTTAAACTACATGTAAAATATCCAGAGAGCTGTGAAAAGTGATAACCTCGGTGATAACTTTGTTTTTATATATCTATTGGACACCTAAAAATCAGGTCGTCTACTGTTTATGACAATCCCTTAGTCCTCATTTTATTGCTCAGATACTAGTAATTTCAGAGGCAAAACTGCAAAAATTGACTAACCATTTTGGTTTACAAATGTGAACATGATTAATAAATAAAAGTTGTGTACTCGCACTAAAAATAGAATGGGTATTCCCGTCTTATATATTTTAATACTACACATGATTGCTAGCAATTGTGAAATCGACTACCTGTAAATATTGACATTGATCACTGGCATGATTATTGGTGTATAATCCACAAGACAGAATCGGTTAAAAATAGTAAGTACATGTTTTGTAAAATAATATTTTTAGTAAAATATTTTAACTATGTCCGCATGTACAAAATGATGTAAACACTTTTGGACGAGATAACCTTGAGTCGACAATGATTGTGTGTTAAAAAATTATAGTCTAGTCTGAATGATATGGAGCTTTGATGCATGATCTGGATATATATTTTTTCTCATAGTTTGTACTGAATATTTATTATAAAAATAAGGAGATGTGGTATGATTGCCAATGAGACAACTATCCACCACTGTTCAAATGAAGTGGATGTAAGCAATTACAGGCAACAGTACGGCCTTCAACAATGAGAAAAACCCACACCGTATGGTCGGGTATAAAAGGCCCCGACATGAAAAATATGAAACAACTCAATTGAGAAAACTAACGGCATAATTTATAACAAAACAGTTTACGAAAAACAAATATGACAAACATATCAAACCAACGACAACTACTGAACTACAGGCTCCTGACTTGGGACAGGCACATAAAGAATGTGGCGGGGTTAATAGATATAGGAAGATGTGGTATGAGTGCCAATGAGACAACTCTCCATCCAAGTTACAATTTATAATAGAAAACCATTATAGGTCAAGGTACGGCTTTCAACACGGAGCCTTGGCTCACACCGAACAGCAAGCTGTTTGTGAGCGCTCACTCATCAGATGAATACAAATAGAAATACATCTAACAAAAACATAAGTGGACGTGGCATGGGTACTTATACATCCCAAAAACAAAAAGACACTAAGTACAGATCTGAGAGTACTCGCAGTTACTGACAGCTAGTTCAAAGTCAATAACGGCTAATGAAAAAAATCATGTATCTAAGACTAAAATACCAATCAGTACACATCCAACATCCAATGGATTTAGTGTAAAGACGCCATTAACAGTCAGAGAAAAACATGACCTCGCGCAATGCTAAACCATAAGTATCGACAGATTGTAGTACCGTGAAAGTACTGAATAGTTATTATGTTTTTCTTTTTTTATACCAAACAACGAATTTTTAATAATATATATTCATAAATAACATGATGTAGTAATCAGCAATACTTTAATTTTTAGGCAAAAAAAAAAAGGCCACTAGGGTATACTTTGTCATCTTTGATACAACTACCTTATTTTACTATTTATACTTTTATTAAACAGATTTTTGAAAGAAAATCAGTTATTGATTTGGTGATGACTTTTGTACGGCGGGTGGGCGGCTGCCAAATAGTGTCCGCTCATTAACATGAAAACGCTTTGACGAAATCTTTTCAAATTTAGATATGTTGTTTCCTGTGACTAAATGAAGGTCAAGTTTAAATTTTCACAATTTTAGCTGTTCTCGTTGTTGAGTTGTAGAACTTTTCAGTAGCAAAAGTGCTTATTATATTATTTATATATGTTCGTAATTATAATAGTGCATTTTTTTACAACAGTTGGGAAAGATGATGATGATTGTTGGTTGCTTAACGTCCAGCAGCAAGTACTCCATATGCTAATGTTTCTACTAGTGTCCAGTTATACATATTTAGTATGGAGAGTGTATTCTGGGAAATAGTTATTCCTGCATGTTTTTATTATTTTATTGTTTTGTTTTGTTGGTTTTTTTTTCCTGAGAGGTCTGTATATAAAAACCTTATAAACAAAAGACAAGGAGAAGGGCCATAATTGGCCTGATTTATTTTTTAATTTAAAGTATAGATGCAAGATTTAAATTTTTGACTATTTTAAAGTATAAGTATTACAAAAAAAAGATAAACAGGTAATGCACAATCCGTGACGTCACAATAAATGTAGTCTCTTCTATTATTGACTTCGGTTAATTTTTAACAAGATTTTTTGACACGCTCATAATGATAAAGCACATGCTAGTTTTACTTTTTTTAACCGTGATGTTTGTCTGTATGAACAATAACTCTCATGTTTTCATTTTTGTGCTACTTATGTGGGCTCAAATATTTCCTACTCACATGTGCGTGTTAATCATTTGATTTTTCTCATATTTTGTAAAGAAAATACGTGTTTGCTGTCCTTTGAACGTACATATAGAAAGACCTCCTTGAATATCAAGTTTATCATTATATATTCATAAATCACCTGATTCGGTAATACTTTAATTCTTACGGAAAAAAGACCACTATCCCCTTCTTAGTTCAATTCATAACTTCAAACAATTGACAATGTGTATACTCATATTTATTTGTATTTTAAAACTTCTACTAAATGTTAAGGATGAAGTATACATCTTTAATGTTTTAGAAATGCATTTTTCATCACTCATACTGTATTTTGATGTCAATGGGACCGCAACTTTAGAATTGATTGATCAACGTCCTGTGCCAAATATTTCATAAATATTCAAGAGATGATACACTATGAAGTTTCTGCAAGGTGCGATGGGCGGGGAAGTTGGACTTTCATAAGATATAAAGATAGTATGTTCGATAGGGACAAAAGTTTGGCTTTGCAGCACGCCCCCTACGGATCATACAAATAGTTGTTACCAGGCTTTGTATTGAGAAGTGCCAAAATCCTTACAACATTATATATAAAGTCCCCATTTCGATCGGACGTTGCTGTGTATTCATTACATCCAACATAGCCAAACAAATGCCAATGTTTACAAGGGTTTCACTGCCGGGCCAGAAAAGTTAAGCGATGAACCTAGTCAACCCGTGGGGTAATCTTTTGTACCAAAATAAGACTATAAATGGTACATCGAACAATTGAAAAATATGTACATTTGTGGTGTCTTATTTGGTTACGTTTTAGTACTTTTATTTCCAGAATAAAGGAGTAATGGCCACAGCGGAGACCAATCAGAAAATCATTATGTGTTTAGGTGGAGCCTTTAATCCCCCGCACAGTAGACATATTATGGCCATGTTATTAGGGAAACAGTGGCTCGAATCAAATACCAACTTCCAAGTTGTGGCCGGAAGACTGGCTGTAGCGCCAGATGGATATGTAAAAGCTAAAACAAAGAAAACAGGAGCCAAGTGTATGAAAGCACAACACAGGATAAAACTTTGCGAACTAGCTTGTTGCGAACACAGGGATTGGTTAGCGCCATATCACCGACCAGTTGGTTCCGCTGGGGAATGTGGGGAAAAAACTAGACTCGAAATGTTGAAAGAATCGGACAATTCAGTAGATCTACATGTGGCTGTTATAGTTGGAGCAGATAGAGCAATGAATAAATCTGGACATGCTAAATGGCACAAGGAGTTCAAACATATAACTGTGTGTATAGGGAGGAAGGGAGAAACAGCCAGAATTCTGGAGAAATATGAAAAAGATAAAGATTCGGGCAATATAAAACATAAACAGTTTTTCCTTATACCAGATGAACTTGACAATGTTAGTTCTACAGCAATAAGACAAGTTCTTGCTAAGATGGAAGGCTCTGGAAATGATAAGAAACAAGTGTTGGATACATTAATAAACGATGGGTGGCTTCTTGAGAGCCAGGTGCTATATATATTAGGAAATGAAGCTGATCTTTATTTTTAATTTTTTCTCTTAAAAAATTGTATTCGTTATTTTTGTTTAAAGTCCGCAGACCTATGTGGAATATATTTTTCGGACAAAATAGGAATTGGTATTTGCTCCTATAACGTATTTTACGGCTTGAATGATACTTGTATAAGATACTTTTGATTGTTACCTCGTTTCGAGAGGGAATATGTTTTCAGTTTGTGAAACAATTCTTGACTATGCGGTATGGGCTTTGCTCATCGTTGAAGGCCATACGGTAACCTATAGTTGTTAATTTCAGTGTCATTTTGTCTGTTGTGGAGAGTTGTCTCATATTGGAGTAAATTGCATCAAAGTCAAATGAAATTGTGTAAATATATGAATAATTAAAAACGGCGAAAAGATGCGAGTGTATCTCTAGATGTCGCACATGAGATAGAAGGAGAATATGTTTTAAACCATATCCAAAAATAATGAAAGTATGAGGAGGGAATCGTCAGTCCGGTCATCAGATGTTCGCCTTATAACATATAATTATTAAATTTTCCATTGATATGTTTAGATGTTAGTTTGAAAGTGGGGTTCAAACTCCTTTTGGTCCCGTTTGGTTCCTCGTCGTGATTTCATCCCTGCCTCTCATAGGTTTTCATCCCTGCCTCTCATAGGTTTTGTTTTGAGAATTTCTGATGAGTAGTAAACAAGGAAAGTGCTTCGGAAGAAAAATAAATAAAAATTATCACCCGTGCAAATACTAGTAAAAGGAAATATTCAAAGCTTGGAACGTTCTTCAAAAAAGGCAAATGATTATAAATTGGCAAGAAACAGGTAAAATAACAAAAATACCGAACTCCTAGGAAAATTCAAACAGGAAAGTCCCTTATTCAATGGCAAAATCAAAAGTTCAAACACACCAAACGAACAGAAAATAACTGTCATATTCCTGACTTGGTACAGGCATTTTCTTATGTAGAAAACGGTGGATTAAACCTGGTTTTATAGCTAGCGAAATCTGCAAAAAGTTCTGCAAATAATAATAATGCAAACAAACTTAACAAAAAACAGAGTTATTATAGTATATCATGGTTTTATCCTTACCCTAAAAAATATAGCAAACGATCAGAACAATGATTGTCAATGAGACAAATGTCATCCGAAGGACAAGGAAGTACACAGCTAAATCAATATCACCCTACGGCCTGCAGAAATGAGCAAATCCCATACGGTATAACAAGATATTTAACGTCCCGGGATAACAAACTGTTATACAATTCAAAAGAAAATTATATATCGCCTGCTTTTTTACTGATTGCTTAACGTCCAGTGGCAAATATTTAATGTATGTTCAGGACGAGAACAAATTAACAATATATACATTAGAAATAGAGACCGCTCTGGGTGAAGGCCGGGGAAGTTTCGTCTTTTAAAGTTAATAACATTTAACACAAGAGTGCACACGCTGAAACGTCTTGCCTGTTATACTTATCACTGAATTCATGTTGAAAGTCTGTAATATGAAGGATTTACTACAAGTATCACATAAACTTAACATTATCAATGTACTATGAAAATGAGGTCACAGTCAAATGAACCATGTCACAGAGACAGGTACACCTTACAAAAATTCCATACATTAAATATAGTGGTCATATTGCTAAAAGTATCCGAGGAACAGATCAAACCACAAAATCTTAACATTGACCAATGAACCATGAACATGAGGTCAAGATCATATGAACCCTGTCAGACAGACATGTACACCTTACAATTATTCCCAACACCAAATATAGTTGACCTGTTGCTTAAAGTATATGAGAAATAGCTAGACCAAACCACAAAAACTTCACATTATCCAATGGACCATGAAAATGAGGCAAAGGTCACAAGAACCCTGTCAGACAGACCTGTCACCTCACAAGTGTTCCATACACTAAATATAATTAATCTATTGATTATAGTATCTTAGAAATAGACCAAACCACAAAAAAAGTATTTCACTTAACCAAAAAACTAATTTTTTTTCAAGCATTCACTGAGCCACGAAAAAAATGTAGCGCTCAACCATATCCCATACCTGGGATAGTGGTGTAACAAGATAAAATCAGTTCAATCTTTAAAAAATATCAGCTGAAAAGATCTGGACTCAACAGGTTGATACTCAGCACAAAAACAACTACCAGCAACAGAATGACAGAAAACACGTATTCCTGATATGATAGTACTCACAGTTACTTAAAACTAGTTCGAAGTCCACTTACAACTTATGATTTTACCATGCTTTCTAAGATAATAATATCTATCAGTGCACCTTCAATGAATACTTTGTTTCATAGGTAAGTAAGTCTTTTTTCATCAAGTTATTAGAAAATTCATTATGGGTTCCGCGGAACCCTGTGTCTTGCCTGCGATTGCTACTGTCGGTGTTAAAAGTATTATGTTGACTTAAAAAGTGAGTCCATTTATCAGTAAAATACAGAATTAAAAAAAAAACTTGCTTTTTAGATGCTTTGTTTGGTCTTGAAGATGATGAGCTTCTGTACAAGTTTCATAACAATCCATGAAGGTTCACAAATTTAACATGCAAAACAATGTTTTATCCCAGATTTTCTTTGAATGTTAAGTGTACAAAATAAAGTCTATCTATCAGAAAAAACACTAAAATGAAAAAAACATATATTTTCAAAGGTTTGCTTCATTCATTATCTTTTACTCATTAAAAATCTACTGCCAAAGTTTCATAAAACTCTTATGAAGGTTTGACAGAGTAATTGACGTGTAACAAACTTAACCACAGACTGTACCTACATGTTAATTGAAAAAAAACTAAGTCCATTTATCAGTAAAAAAACGGAAATGAAAATAAACAATTTTCAAAATTTTGCTCTGGATATTGTCTTGTGGTCATAAACAAGCTTCTGTAAAATTTTATAATAATTCCATGAAGGTTTGACAAAGATATTGATGACTAAAATACTTTAACCTCACACAAAATCTTAAGTAACTGTAAGAAAAAACATATTAGTAAAATACGGAAAAATGAAATTAATATTTTCAAAATTTTGCCCTGGATACAGTATTTTGGTCATAAACAAGCTTCTGTCCCAATTTCATAAAATTACATGTATGTTTGACAAAGTTATTGATGTCTAAAAAACTTTAACCACAGACTGAACCTAAATGCAAACGGCTCAGACGCCGACTACGGAATCTAGGATCACTATGTCTCGTGAATTTCACGAAATACATTTTGCCAGTTCGACAAAAATCTTGTCCACGGGGAAAAAAACCTTCCTATGAAAAGAGTTCAGAGTCCGTTAAATATGTCTGGTACTTATTTACCTAGGACAAATGTTCAGATACTTTATTTCTGGAGAAAATCAGAATATGGACTAGTTTAACTTTATGTAAGAAAAATTCGTAAGGGTTCCGAGGAACCCAGTGTCTCGCCTACTTTTGCTGTTGTCTATGTCTTCAGTGTGATAGAGGAATGCACATAATAGATTTACAGTTAATGAAATAAAACTTTTGAAATGTATCAAGAAAGAATTTTGATAAACATTGTGGAAATGGCTTTGAGTGGGATCCCGTGTGAGGGATGGTGTTGAAGCTTGGGAAACTAGCTTTTGTATCTGTAGTCGGCTGTTATTGTACTACAAGATACGAACTGGTATGATTCGATACATAAATAATGGATTGAAATATATCACAGTTCATTCACATCCAAGTCCGTAGTCCAATGCAATTAACATAAACAAATTGGTGAAATCCAAATTCATTTAATGAAGTCCAAATATAAAATATCAGTGTTACAAATTTGTTATTTTAAACCAAAAACAATATATATATGATTGCGATGGAAAATCCGAACGCAGTTTATGTGCTCTCGTTAGCATATCCAAATGGAGTCCTTGAATATAAATTTATCTTTCTTTAAATACCAAATAGCGTTGCTAACAACAAAGTCGTAATGGTCATTTTGTAAACAGAAATTATATAATTAAGTGTTTAATTAATCAAAGAGTATTACGATAGGTTTGACAGGGAAAAGATCAATCCATCAATCAATTGAATTCAATTATGTGTGTATTTGATATGACCGAATAAAAGTTGCATAACGAACTTGTATAATGTTTACATTATAGCTTAGAGTTTAAAAGGTCATTGACAAATATAAATTTATAATCTAACATGTTTCAGGTGTAAACAAATATTTGGGACAGTTAAATTCGTAGCGAATATCGAGATCATTACTATTGAATAAATTAAATATGCCTGCTGCATACGAAATGTACACGTTAATAAACTGTAATAGAAATCAACATAAATTAATAGAGAGTTTGAAATATAAAATTTAGTACAAAAATAATGTGTGTCAAATGTATGGAAAAAAGTTATGCTTGTAAAAAATGAACAGTATGCAATAAAATCTGTAGATTTATGTAAGAGTTGAAACATAAATTTATAAAGAAGATAATTTTTACATTTTCCTCTAAATATTATCTTTTGATTGTAAGAAGCTTCTGTCCAAGTTTGGTAAAAATCATGGATGGTTTATGAATCTAAGAAATGTTTTAAAAACTTTTAACTGTAACATGTGTAACTGCAGACTGTATGTAATGTTTACTGAAAGAAAAAAATAAGTCCATTTATAAGTAATATACGGAAAAATAGGAAATAAATTTTTACAAAATTTCCTTCTCGATACTAGCTTTTGATCATAAACAAGCTTCTGTTCAAGTTTGGTACAAATCCAGGATAGTTTAAGAAAGTTATTAAAATTTTTAAAACTTTAACCACAGAGTGAATGTTATGTAAACTGGCAGAAAAACTAAGTCTATTTATAAGTAAAATACGGAAAAACAGGATTTCTTTTTACAAAATTTACTTCTGGATACTATCTTATGATCATAAACAAGCTTCAGAGTGAATATTTGTGGACGCCACCGACGACGGAATGTAAGATCGCTGTGTCTCGCTTTTGCGACAAAAGTCGCAGGCTCGACAAAAAGGTCTGGGTACCTTCAGAAGACTTGTATAACACGTACATCTGATGAAAGCAAAGACATCTATTGACTCTAAACAATGTAAAGAAATAAAAATTTTGACAAAATGTAAATATATCCATCTGATTTTTTTTTTTAATTTTCTTATTCAAATCCAGTATATAAAACTTTCAAAAGTTCAAAAGTATTCATAAAAGTGGAATATACAGACTGACAAGGTGATTCCTAATACAGTCCAATTGTTTGTTGGCAGAGGGGAGGATTATAAAATTCATATATTTGAAGAACACTTCTAATTAATTATAAGAGCAATTGAGTAAGGGAAAAAATGTTTCCTAGTTAATAATTTTACTACAATATTTACACTTCATGTTTATCAAATCCTTTATTTTATTTCCAGTTTGACATGTTTGATTGATTGTTGTTTTCTTAGGTGTCCAGTGGCAAATATCTCGTGCATATTGAGGAGTAATTTCAATTTTGTTTACAACTCTTTTGAAAACGAATACATAATATAAATAAACTTTTGGTGCAGAGATGTCTTGCCTGTTGGTAGAACATTCAGGAAAAGACAATCTGGTGGACAGCAACTTCACTAATTAATTAGTTTATGGATCATGGCATAGATGGCAGTGCTTCAAAATGATTGTCAAACCGAGATGTACTGATAGTAATGCAACTTGAAAATATCATTGAACTTTCATAAGAAGTTCCAACTAAACTAACTTAAGCAGATAACTAAACATTCAAAACTGCTTATTAATTAATTGTACCATGACCTAGCTAGGGTGTAGGGCCTTAGAAAGTCGCCAAACTGATATGTACTGACAGCATTGAAATTCTATAGAACATATCATTGATCTATCACAAGAAGTTCTTATAAAACTGACTTACACAGAAAACTTAACATTAGCTTTAAATGCTACGACTTTTGTTGCAGGCCAGACAAAATATTGATCAATGAAAATTCAAATTTTCTAGCATCTCCTCTACTGGTTGATCATGATATTTTAAATTCTGTAATAAGTAGCATCTGGTGATGGTTATAAACATGAATGGAGAATGAGAAGTGATAAGGAAATAAATGGGGAATGTGTCCATGGAGATGATGCTCCCGCTTGCATATCATATAAAGTTATAAAGGGACATAACTGAAGAATGGTAAAAGTGATGCTACCCAAATTTGTACTTCATCTGAATTTTGTGGTAATAAGTATTGTGTGTAAGTTTCATAACATCTGGTTTAGGCAAACTTAAGTTAGAGAACGGAAACGAAAAATTCAGCAATTTTACCATTTGTAATGGGCCACAACTCTAGAACAGTAAAAGTTACGCCACCAAATTTCAAACTTTTTTTTATCTGTATTTTGTGGTAGTACACATTGTGTATAAGTTTCATAACATTTGGTTGAGGCTAACTTAAGTTAGAGAACAGAAACGAAAAATTCAGCAATTTTTCCATTTGTAAAGGGGCATAACTCTAGAACGGTTAAAGTGACACCACCAAAATTCAAACTTGATCTGTGTTTTGTGGTAATAAGCATTTTGTATAAGTTTCATAACATTTGGTTGAGGCAAACTGAAGTTGGAGAACAGAAACCAACTTTGGGACGTACAGATGGACGGACAAGGGCAAAACTTAATGCCCCCAGCATAAAAATGGAACATATCCCTGGTCACACAAGACACAGAAATTTTGTAACTTTTCTCCAAATCATTCAGCTGTCCTGTAAAATTTCAAAGAGAAGTGTAAACTTTACTATTGAGAATCCTTGGTTCAGTACCTTTTGTTTAAGCAATTACCATCTATCGATACCATCTTGATAGGAAAAGCAAGCTCTGGAATATCATGTATTGTGGAAAGAAATAATAATAAAGTCAGTATGATGTTGGAATGTTTTTTTCTTATAACTCTTTACATCTATCACTACTTGATATCAACAAAACATTGCTCAGATCTATTATAATAACATGCTTAATGGAAACAATTTAAATGTACACCAAACTTAAAAATACCATTGAAATTAATTGTTTTATATCCAGTTCTTCAAGTGTGGTTGTGCTTATTTTTGTGGTAAGATTGATCAAGTTTCTATACTGTTCTATTGTTCTCTTAATAATCAAATTATAGAACAACGCCCTCTAATAGTTATTTATATAAATATATAGATAGTTACATGTACCCGGTATTTATATAAATATATAGATATAATAGAAATTTATTTTAAATAAAGGGTTACCAGTATATAGTTTAGTTACATATATGCGTATTTTACTAATACAAAGTGTATATTTCACCTGTTTGAAACCTGAATTTTGTGTAACAAACCAATGTTAGTTGAAAAAATCTTTTCAAACATATTTTTAACTTCAAAATTCTTTCAATACAGAAAGATTCTTTAACATAGATAAGTTACGGTCACCTATTTGTTTCTTTTAAATCCAGATGTACTACGAAAGATTCATTGTTAACAAGTATAAATTGGCATTGATAGTATTTTCTTATACCATTTAATAACATCAATGGATTTCTACCTCAGTACTGAATAATTCTCTTTTTGTATCTTGGCTCTCTTTCATAAGAAATATACACATAAAACAAATTAAAAATATTCACATACAAAACTTTCCCTGAGAAAATAAAAATTCTTAAAATGAAAAATGTATTCACATGTACAGTACAATATAAATCAATTAATTCTGTCAAAATAGGGTTTTTAAACAATGCAGATGCAGGGGTTAAAATTAACATTTTTCACTGAAAAGTCACATTTACAACAGTAAAGCGGAAGGTCCACACCTTAGGATGAAAGGTCCAAATATTGACTTTTGATTGGATCAATTTTAAGATTTTGTGTCCCTTTCACTAAAGCTAATTTATTGTGACTCATTATCACATCAATTTACAAGTTATAACAAAGTGTTTCATACAGAAATTCATCATATATGTTTTCTGAAACTTGAAAATCTAAAGTCTGTCTGGTGCAGCTTATAACCAAATCGGAAGTCCGACCCTAAATCTGATAGGTCCCGGACCTCGGACCACTGCTAATTTGAAGTAAGACTCACAAAAATGATTTCAAACCTAGAGACATCAATGTTTGTTTTGTGATTGAATGTATATTATCTGAACACAATTTGGTGCGAGATTATAAAATTGAGAATGGAAATGGGGAACGTGTCAAAGAGACAACAACCCTACCAAAGAGCAGAAAACAGCCGAAGGTCACCAATAATTACTAAAACTATACAACTGTCAACTTCTAAGCAGTGGTTGACTTTTGGTAGCCACTACTTCAGAGAAACATTATGCATGTAATGATTATGAAATTTTCATTAGCCCTATCTGCCAAAATGAAAAGTAGACATGATTAAAGTCTATGGATCCAGGCCCATGGCCAGGGGTGTTTGAGGGATTCGTACGAACCCTCTTTTGAAAACAAATAAGCACTATTAAAGTTGCCGTCTGTTTGAATTGTGACTATCTAAGTTGAGATCTTTTTTGACCTTTGAAAGGTCCAAATATTGACTTTTGATTGGATCAATTTTAAGATTTTGTGTCCCTTTCACTAAAGCTAATTTATTGTGACTCATTATCACATCAATTTACAAGTTATAACAAAGTGTTTCATACAGAAATTCATCATATATGTTTTCTGAAACTTGAAAATCTAAAGTCCGTCTGGTGCAGCTTATAACCAAATCGGAAGTCCGACCCTAAATCTGATAGGTCCCGGACCTCGGACCACTGCTAATTTGAAGTAAGACTCACAAAAATGATTTCAAACCTAGAGACATCAATGTTTGTTTTGTGATTGAATGTATATTATCTGAACACAATTTGGTGCGAGATTATAAAATTGAGAATGGAAATGGGGAACGTGTCAAAGAGACAACAACCCTACCAAAGAGCAGAAAACAGCCGAAGGTCACCAATAATTACTAAAACTATACAACTGTCAACTTCTAAGCAGTGGTTGACTTTTGGTAGCCACTACTTCAGAGAAACATTATGCATGTAATGATTATGAAATTTTCATTAGCCCTATCTGCCAAAATGAAAAGTAGACATGATTAAAGTCTATGGATCCAGGCCCATGGCCAGGGGTGTTTGAGGGATTCGTACGAACCCTCTTTTGAAAACAAATAAGCACTATTAAAGTTGCCGTCTGTTTGAATTGTGACTATCTAAGTTGAGATCTTTTTTGACCTGAGTTGATGTAACCCCCCTTTGAAAATTCCTGGCTATGGGCCTGGACTCAATCCTTATTTTGAACCTCAATCCTCATGTTTTAAAGAGCTTTCTTCTTCATCAAATTATTCTTTTCATCAACATACCACTTTCTTACTTAAATATATTTTCTATCAAGAAATGAGACAGAGTTGACCAAAATCAAAAAGACTATGTCCACCTCGACAGACTTAAAGCAGTGTACTTCAGATAAATCAACAGTTTGCATATTATACTTGAAACAGACTTAATATGTTCTGGCCTTGCGGTCAAGGACATTTAGAGTAAACATATTGTACACAGAATTTAACCAATAAAAGTACTGGATTTGGTGTTTGGAGCAAACATTTTGTTTCTCCAAGCACTGAGTAAAATTTCATGACTATAGGCTCTTGTTAGTGATGAAAAGAAAAAATCAAAATGATTAAAATTGATGTAAAACATAATAAAAATGTACATAGCACCTTTTCAACAGAATAATTTATTCTGTTAAAAAATGAACACATTATATACACTAACATTTACATATAAAAATTTACAAGACAATGATGTTTATTTATACATAGACAATATCACTGGCTTTTATGTTTTATCACACATGATCTAAGATTCTACTCATACCATGTAATAACTTTTTTTATTGTATAACAGTAAATATATAAATGCTTTAATACCCCAAAATTCTATTCATACAATGTACTTATTTCTAATATTTTAAAATGGTTAATATTACCCTTGTTTTTAAAAAAACAAAAACAATTGGGACAATGTTTGAAATGATAACAATATTCTATTTTTCAAAAACCAAGTTACATGAAAACATCAATATGTCCACTTTTTAAATGAAATATTCATTTAAGAAAATACATCTTCTTGAACACAAAGGTATATGGAATAACAATGAAATGAATAACTAATTAATAACCTGGTCACATGACTATACAAAGTTGATTCTACTACTTGTACTTTTAACACGGGAAATACTTCGGTTAACTGTCACTGCATTCCTACCAGAGGATGCAAGTTACATTATTCAATCTGTTAAAAAATAGATCTTTCCAGATGTACATGCATGCATGAATAAAGTTATCAGCCTAAAGTACTAACTAGTTTTAAACTACTGAGTAACAATGGAGTAGTCATTGAATAAGGAAAATAAAGAGCATGCTGAATCCTGGTAGATTGACATGTGTACTTGATTAATGTTCATAACTACACAAACTTATCGCACTATTATATATTTGTCCTTGTCCTAAAGAAACAAATACTGTAAACCACCTTATTTTCGCGGATACTTTATTTTGCGTTAAGCCCTTTCTACTCCATTACGCGGCGATTTATTTTCGCGATTTTCAAATTAACTTGATGAAAATCCAAGTTATACATATTTGCGACGATTTATATTTGCGTTATTGTCTAGCAAAAGTCGCGAAAATAAATTGCTTGCAAAAATTAGTTGGTTTACAGTAAGCCTTCCCTAAAATCTGTGATGAGTAATGCAATTTTAAAAACAAGCTAGAGGCAAGGGAGATAACTATACATTGCATAAAGATCTTTAATTTTCAAAAACGGTTTCATTGTATTTCTTTAAAATCAAAATGACTTTGAAATGAGAGTTGGACATATTTACATTTTTAAAGCACTTACAAAAGTGAATATTTCAAATGGTCAGACACACTATATGTCCTTTGCGTCCTACCTTAGGTTTGCATAAGTGGTAACCCAATTTCTTTTTCTGTTAAAATAACTCATAATTTTAGAATCAACTTAAGTAATATGCAAATGGTCTATTTATTTCAACCAATTGTAGAACTTGTAAAATATAACTTGTGTAAATAAAGAATAACAATTGACCCGTGTAACCAGACATGCCTTCATCGTTATTTAAATACATGTAATTTTCCACTAGAGTTAGCTCCAACCATAACGTCTTGGTTACGACCAAGCACAGTTAACGAACATACAGATCCAAGGTATTCTTCATCTTTCATAGCTAACACCTTTCTGCCATTTACACCATAAACATCAATCTATAATGCAATATCTATATATTTAAATTGGAAATTATTTAAAGAGAAATTAGCTGTCAAGTTCATGTTCACTGATTTGACTTAAATTTTAACAGTTGTTTTATGACCTACTAAAACGTACATCCAAATTACATAAAGCCCAAAAGATACAATTATCAATCCGTCTACTCACAGTAGTGGATCAGAATTTCATGTGTATTTTAGACTAGATGCCATCTCAAAAACCATTGAGATTACAAAAAAGACTGCAGATGATCATATAACTCAATGTAAACATAAATAGAAATATACTGACAAGCACATGCATTCATATAACAAACTATTTTTCTAGCTGTGTTTAATTTCATGTCATTGATTTTAATAAATATCTTTTTTCTCTCGTCTAAATCATAGCTTATGCCTCTTTAAGCCATATTTGTTTAATCTGTCGTGTGTAAATTAGGGTCTTTTAATCATATTAGTTTCTGTCCAAGTTTCATAAAATTCCATGACGGTTTGACACAGTAATAGATGTCTGCAAAACTTTAACCATAGACTGTATCTTAATGTTAAATGTAAACTAAAACTCAGTCCATATATCAGAAAAATAAAGATTTTTTATTTTTTCCAAATGTTATTCTGGATACTGTATTTTGATCATACAAAAGCTTCTGACCAAGTTTCATAAAATTCCATGAAGGTTTGACAAATGTATTGAAAAATGTTCAAACACAGACTGAACCTAAAAATTTACAACATTTGGTGACTAAATGTTGCAGGCTTCACAAAAAAGCGAGAAGGATTTTGTTTTTGCATTTTACCTGTCTTGGTCTTGACATACTGCCCACAGTAAACAGGTCCTCTCTTGTAGGGTGCCAAGTAGCTCTAAAACCTGTCAGCCATCTCCCTGTATGATTGTCATGTCTGCAATGCAAAATAATGTACATTATAATATACATTTAAAAGCTAATACACTCCTGTTTAGTTATATGTAACATATTCAAATTTTAAAATAAAATTCCAGCAAATATAACGATTTTAATTTGAGTGTTATATATTTGTATTAATTAGATATGAGAAGATGTGGTATGAGTGCCAATGAGACAACTCTCCATCCAAGTCACAATTTATAAAAGTAAACCATTATAGGTCAAAGTACAGCCTTCAACACAGAGCCTTGGCTCACACCGAACAGCAAGCTATAAAGGGCCCCAAAAATGACTAGTGTAAAATCATTCAAACATGAAAAAACCAACGTCTAATCTATATAAAAAACGAGAAACGAGAAACACTCATGAACCATATGAACAAACAACAACCACTGAACATCAGGTTCCTGACTTAGGACAGGTGCAAACAAATGCAGCGAGTTCAAACGTAATGTCTTTACCTAAAAATATATATACATGCATGCCAACTATTCAAAAAACTCCATTTGGATTTAAAGGCAAAAGGAGATAATGCTCTTATATTGTCACAAGTGTTTTTAATCAACTTCTTTATGGTTTGGATGAGTATGTATGTGCTTAGATACCCTTTTAACTCATTTGAATGCCTGTTTTGAGGTGTTCAGTTTATATAATACAGAATTTCAAAATTGAGGTCAACACCTCTCATGGGGGATATCCACATAAATGGGGATAGTTGGCAAGTCTGATATATAGTGGCCACTACAGTGTGTCATTGCAAATGGGGGATTTATCCACAATTCTTAACAGTCAGGGGCATTACTTAAACAAGTAACTTTTAAAATTACCTATACAAGTTATGTTGAAAACGAGGCTATTTTAAAAGTTACTTATATAAGTAACTTTTCTAAATATAATTTTTTTTAAATTATACAGATTTTACTAGTTTTAACAAATTTTTACAGTCATCTGGTTATTTTTCCCATGAAATATAAAATCTAATCCTGAAACACTAATTGCCTTTCTGATGCACTTATCTTTCATATTGACGCTTCCGGGTCAAAGATTGCTCTCCTTGGGACTATTAAAATATCGTTTTCTGTGAAAATCTTGAAGGTAGACAGATATAAATAGATAGAAACTTGTGAATTAATTCAGACTTGAAGTTATTTATGATTTGTAACGGAAAACAATTACATATGTTCCTTATATAAGTGTTATTAATAATTCTTTCAAAGATGTATAAAATAACTTATTCAAGTAACATTTTTGTCATTATTTTTAAAGTAACCCTTTATGTCTAAACTCCTCTCAAATCTAATAAATTCTTAATTTTATGATATAAAATGATGTAAAAATTCATGAAAACTACATTAAGTCCATGCTTCTATTACAATTTAAAATAACTCTATTGAGTAATTTTATATTCTTTAAAAACAAAAATTACCTATATACATGTAAGTAACTAAAAAAAGTTACTTGTTTATGTAACGCCCAGGACTGCTTAAAAGGAATAAAAAAAAATATTTATGTACCTGAAAGTCAGGAAAAAATTGGTCTTTTTTTTTTTTTTTTAAATAAATCACACAAAATCTTAAACTAAAGAATATTTGCAAGTCATGAATAGTATCGATCTCTTAAATCAATTCTAGTTGTAATATTTTTGGGTAAAAAAAAGCTATTGTATGTCTTATATATGTCAAAACATCCAAGTATAACAAACTTACATAATGCTGTGTTCTTTTTTACAATCGGAGAGATTTTCACTGTTGAATATTCTGAAATATACAAAAATAGAACTGAATAATTGATGATGCCATAAAAATCGTTCAAAACTATTGATCTTCATTAGAGAATATGAAATGATTAGGGCTATTCCATTAAAATGTATGTGGGAGGGTAGGAAGGGAAGTTTAGTTATTGACTGTGGGTCATGGGTCTTTTTTCAGTACGCGTCTATTACCATTATGCAAAATTATCTAAAAAATTCGTAAGGGTTCCGCGGAACCCAGTGTCTCGCCTACTTTTTCTGTTAACCGCAGGCTCAACAAAAATGAGGACGTAAATCAATAAAAATATTCCTCTTGATACTATCTTTTGATTGTGAGAAGCTTCTGTCCAAGTTTGGTAAAAATCCAGGATAGTTTATGAATCTAATAAATGTTTCAAAACTTTAACTGCAGACTGAATGTAATGTTAACTGGAAGAAAACAAAATTTCCTTCTAGATACTAGCATTTGATCATAAACAAGCTTCCGTCCAAGTTTGGTACAAATCCAAAATAGTATAAGAAAGTTATTAAAATTTTAAAAACTTTAACCACAGATTGAATGTGTTGTTTCATGGCAGAAAATCTAAGTCCATTTAAAAGTAAAATAAGGAAAAATGGATTTATTTTTTTACAAAATTTACTTCTGGATACTATCTTATGATCATAAACAAGCTTCTGTCCATGTTTGGTACAAACCCAGGATAGTTTAAGAAAGTTATTAAAATTTTAAAAACTTGAACCAGAGTGAATGTAATATTTCCCGGCAGAAAAATTAAGTCCATTTATAAGTAAAATACAGAAAAAATGGAATTTTATTTTTACAAAATTTACTTCTGGATACTATCTTATGATCATAAACAAGCTTCTGTCCAAGTTTGGTAGAAATACAGGATAGTTTAAGAAAGTTATTAAAATTTGAAAAACTTTAACCACAGAGTGAATATTTGTGGACGCAGCCGACGACGTCGACGGAATGTAGGATCGCTATGTCTCGCTATTTCGACTAAAGTCGAAGGCTCAACAAAAATGGTTCTTGGTTGTAGGGATATTTTGAAAGTCCCTTCCTACCCTCCCACATACATTTAAATGGAATAGCCCTTATCAATATAATAATTTAAAACCATGAAAAATCATCCTAGACTTAGTCAACAATAATATATTAATGGAGTTCAATCTTCATCTAGAAGCATAAAATTCAGATGATTCCTGTTTTTTTCAAGATTCTTTCATAACACTGTACCTTATCAACTTTAGAACTACTTGTGTGTCTTTACACAAAATAAATGAATAATCTCAACTGTTAAAATATTTGGCATCATTCTCAACAGAAATAATTTTATGTTCACTCTTTAACAGACTTGATCATACATTCTAGAATTGCAATTCGTAAACCCCTAGTTGTCAAGCAGTTGTCAAGCAAAACTGAGCTTACACGTTACAGGAGACAAAGACAGACCTGTGAAATCAGTTGTTAATAAAGAAATTTGCATGAAGTACTGTGCAAGTTTTTGTTGTTTTTGGTTTTAAAACCCAACATATATACTATTAAACACATATGTATTCAGTTAGGTTCTAAATTTCTTGTTGGAGGCTGAGGGAACCCCACCAATAAGAATATCGATAACAAAATGATCAATAATACTTTCACAGTATCATCATGCTAGTATTTACCAACCTTATTCTGTCATCCAGAGATGTTGATAGGATGAAGTTTCCTGTCACTGGTGAGAAGTAAGCACTGTTTATTGTTTTATCATGACTCAATTCATCTAAAGATTGACTCTTCCCTTTTTCTTTCAGCTTTCTTATATCCCAAATACAAACAGTGCTAAAAAATTAAGAGTTTAAACGCTTATAGAGAAAATAAAATGTTTCCTGTTTTATTCGTTGTGTTAAAGAAAACATTTGACATAAAAAACCAAATGTTTGAAAATTTCATTGTCCCTAACCAGCGAAAAAAGTTCGTAACATTGTATACATGAACATTTTTTTTATTTTAATTAAAACCGAATAAGTGTTACAAAGTTTTCTAGGTAAAAAATGGAAAGGAAGGACATTGGGTGGAATTAAATGGGACAACAAGCTAAAAAAAAATACTCATAAATAACCAGTTTATCACAAGTACAACACTCTTTCGTTTTTTCTTTTTTATTTGCATCATACCAGTCTTCAAAGATAAATAATAAAGTTGGAATTTTACTTATAAGCTAAGCATTACCTTTTGGACAATGGTAAGCCCTTTCTTATTGAATTTTACAGTTTGAGTGCTCACAAATATGTATAATGTATAATGCCAACACAAACGCATTCTTTTTGAGGCTAGTCTAAGTCAGGGACCTTAATTCAATGATCATTGTTGGATGCTGTCATTTAATTTATTTTCTATATTTATTGTTTTCAGTATAAATCAGACTGTTGGTTTTGCCATTCAATTTGATTCACATTTTTGTTATGTCTGATGTGGGTTTTGCCATTCAATTTGATTCACATTTTTGTCATGCCTGATGTGGGTTTTGCTCATTGATGAAAGCTGTACAGTGACCTATAAGATGTTTAAATCTTTATTCCTTAGCCTGTAGTAGATAGTAGTCTCATTTGAAAACATACCAAATCTCCTCATTTTTATATATCTAACTACTGTACATGTAAATTCACAAATTATTGCGATGTTTTTGTTATTGAGAAAAATGCGACAGGGTTATGATCGCAATAATTTAAACTCGCATTTTGAAATTTTTTATATGAATTTAACAGGAATTTTCTCAATATTGCAAAAATCAAAATCGCATTTTAGTCTAAAATGACAAAATCGCAATAATAAATGCACACAATAATTTCTTAATTTACAGTAATCCAAACCATTAATTATAAAGGAGCAGAAGAAGGAACTGCTAACAATTCAGAGTTTAAATGCAAATTCTATTATTTGTTGTCTGACAAAGGACTTTATAATCATAACTGCAAATAAACAGGCAATCTTAAGTCATTATCAAGTATACTTACGCGTCTGTACTACTGGTACAGAAGATATTGTCCTGTAAAGGATGTACACTGACAGAACGTAGAGATTTCTGGTGCAATTGGTACAAGTTTTCTGCAGTACTTCTAAAATGATAAAATAATTTTCTATTTTGTTTGCAGTAGATGTAATGGTTACTTTACACTTGTGACCAATAATTTTCAAATATATTCCACTGGAGGAAGAATCTACAATGTATAATATAAATCAAAGCTGTGTATTTGTATGGAATATGAATGACACTTTCATAAAATAAAATAATGTAAGATTGTTTGAAATTTGCAAATTGAAATTAAAATTTTAAATTAAGGATATAGTGTGAATTGAGTTATTTCCCTTTGTCTGTAAAATTGTTGGTAGAACAGACTGATGCAAACACATCTTATAACTTGTGTAATTTTTAGTACAATAATTTTCTTGAGTCAGAGAAGTATGGTAAAACACACACACACACAGCATTTTGTAAAAAGAAATTCTGAGTTTAAATCATAAATACAGTCCTTGATATTGACATTAAATATGATCTTATGACTGTTTAGATCATAATTTTCAAAAGATTTTCTTTAATATTTGTAACCTTGTTTTTTATTTCAGTCAATCAAAAACTTAACACCAAGTGGTCTGAAAATAAAGAAATTAACAAGTTTTGGTTATGGCTCAATCTGATTAAAATACAGATTCTGTGACCACATTTTTCTTTAAGATTCTAATATTAAAACACTCAATACTAATTTCTGTTTAAACAACCTTTCTGGATCCTAAAGTTTTGTCGTATTGATACACACCTTCAAACATTTGGAGCCAGATATTTCATTGCTTGATAAAAAAGTTATCAGAACAGAAAGTAGAAGAGGCAGACATTTCATTTGTTAATATGAAAGTTATCAGAACAGAAAGTAGAACAGAGTGTTTTCAGATCTTTGTAAGTTAAAAGTGGACACAGGATTTGTATTTTAAACACGGCAAAGAGGGAAAAGTGTAACAGTGAATCCTTTCTGGCAGTGTACTTCTTCCTGCTGGAAGAAATACAAAAGTATAAAAATGTCATGACATTCTTACCGTAGGATATATTATATCTATTATTTTCATTATAGACTATTTTTTATTACCTAGAGGTCCTTGTATCTACCATGGCAATACAACCATCTTGTTGGGCCACAAGTAATGTATCAGCAGTCATAAAGTCAAAACTCTTCAACAGTACTTCATCAGGTGTGGAATAAATCTGCAAAATATTACAATTCCTGTTAGCCATTCTAATAATATAGTCAATCCTGCCTTAAAAGCAACCTTGTTTCAGCAATCACTGGCCTCTAACAGTCACTTTTAAACCATCCCAAAAGTTTTCTCTATATAATTTGTTCGAAATTGTAATTTTTCAGAACCTTTCTTAAAAGGTAACCTGTTTTGAGCTGTTACTTTTGGTACTTCCCATGAGTGACAACAGATTTATTTATTCTTTTTATACGCCTTATATTACGTGTAATTGATATGAAAACCATTCTTTTATACTAGTTCAGCAATGAATTACTGAATCATGCAATGATATAAAATGCACTTGATGAACATTTTTGGCTGCTATAATGCCAGTGAGAATAAAATAATGATCAGGATTATTGTTTCTTTAAAATGACCATTAATGTGATAGATATATTAAACACTGTTTTACATCAGGAGGGAACTGTTTTACTTTCAAAGTCGTATTATATTGATATCTATTATGTACAGATTTTGACTCTCACCAGGTTTTTTCATCTTTTACACGTGCTTTTCAAACTTCCGGTTTAAACATACACAAGTTTCTAAATTGTTTTTTGTGTGATTAAAACATATTTTAACCAGCGTGAAGTGTTTTAGAACCATTTACAAACAGTTTCAGCTTCTGTTTGGTGATGGAAAATAGGTTTTTCCAAGAAAATACTGCAAACGACCACACACGATTTAAAATTACCGGAGTTTCATAAGACCTTTTCTAACAGTTACAAAAAGTTTTTTTTACCTGAAATTTCGTGGGGTGAAGGGGGTGCGGACTATGTACCAGTGCGAACTATACAAGCCCGATTACAGTAAGTCAATAAGCTGATGCAAAGTATTATAAGTGAAATTAGATCAATGCCAAGACTTTACAAGAAATATCATTTTAATATAAAAGATATATCACATATTCAATCTTTAATTCATTTTATAATGAAACAAACCTCATCAAAGACACTTTTTTGTAAATCACAGCATCTAACAGTTCCATCATAACTACAGGAATACAGTTGATTTTGTTTATGTAGTGAGAATTTGAGACAGTTGATTGGTCGAGAATGTGGTGTATACACAACAACACCATCTGTCTGGAACTCTCTTCCTGCCATCTGAAAATACAAAATATGGTGGGTTATCATCAGTTTCAGTATTTAAATATTGAGCAGTTACAAGGACCTGAACTGCTAAATTTTTCTTCCTGGCATTTAAGGAGTAACCACACAAATTGAAGTGCTAAATTTCTTTCTGGCATTTTAGAAGTAACACACAAATCTTCAGATGGATCTAGTCTTGCAAATTGCTTACATCCACTTCATTTGAACTTTGGTAAATAGTTGTCTCATTGGCAATCATACCACATCTCCTTATTTTTATATTGTAATAAACTAAATGGAGATGAATATTTTTTTTATAACATACATGAATATAAAATTTGTTTTGCACAGATAAAAATTATCAGTTGGATTATGCATCATTTAGGAGTTGGGTATTTGTGTCTGGTGTGGTCTGATGAACATGTATTGCCTAAAATTTTTAAAGATTAATTTTTGTCCTTTCTGATTAAATAATTAGCTCTCTAATGTTTGAAGTTTTTGGACTTAAGCATCACTGAAGACATTAATTGTTGGTGTGCACATCTGTTGCAGTAACATTGGAACCATTAATGTATTTTCATGTTTTCATGTTTACAATCTTTTGCATCTTTAAAATTGGTCAAGATCAGATGGCCTCAATGTGAAGTCCAGTTTTTAATTGGTTTTCAACTATGTGCTGTAAGGTTGTTGCAATCTTGTTCTGCAAGACTGCTTATAACTACAAATTGTAGAGTTACTATCTCAATGGCTTACTGTGGATTCATTATATTTCATTGATTTCATGGGTTAAGGTGAACCACAAACTTTAATGTTCAACATTTTTCATGGACTTGGATGCAGGCTATTGCAAGACCATGAAATCAAATATCCACGGAAATACAATTTTTCTTCGATCCACAAAAATTGGCACCCATAAAATAAATGACTCCACAGTATATCTCATGTTAATCATAATAACTTACCACATCCCAGATTCCTAAGAATCCCCACTTGTCACCAGCTGCTGTTATTAGTTTGGTGTTAGTTGGATGAATGTCAAGGGAGAATACTCTGTTTGGTACAACCTTAGCTACTCGTTCCATGTTTATCTTCAGATTACTTAAGTTCTTCACATAACTGAAAATGAAACATAAAATTTCTGATTACAATCACTCAATTTCAAAAACAATTTTGAAAAAAGGTAAAAACAACTAAAAGCGCGCTTTATTTTCAATTTTCACCAACTCCAAAATTTTCATTGGATAAAGGTTCCTCGTTTATTGTTTTTCTCTATACATGTTATATGTCTATTTTTTGTAGTAGGAGTCTGTTGTTCTGTCAAATATCTTATTTTTGTCACTTCTTGTTTTTCAATTTTATAAACTAGTATTACTTTTCCATGTTTTCAGTTCTGATAAAACATTTCCATATTTTGTCTCATTTCACAAAACTTAAAATGTTGTAGGCAAACAAAAACATTTTTGAAAAGTTGAATAGAAATAGTGCCACTGTAATAAATCACCTTACATAGTTTAAGGGAAGACTTGAATATCCTCCTTGTCCATGTGTAAACCTACACACATTCTTAAAGGGAGATAATTTTAATCAATCAGGTAAATCACACATTAATATATACCTCAGAAAAAATCTGAGACGTCAACAGTTGTTTGTAAAATGATGCCATAAAGAAATGATAAATGTTTTATCTCTGAAAGGTCCTTTAAATGGGAAAAGAGTGAAATCTTTTACAAAACATAATTGGTCAAAAATGACCAATTGTGAAAAGCTTAATCAAAATCTTTTACATTAAAAAGCCAGGTAAAAAATTTTGTAGTAGCCTTATCAACATCTAAATTTAAAATTAAAATAAAGTAATTGTTATTAACAGTTCTCAGTGTGTCATGTCTATTGAAACTAATGAATATTAAAATTCTTTCTTAATCATCAGGGCTATTCCATTAAAATGTATGTGGGAGGGTAGGAAGATTCTTCCAAAATATCCCTACAACCAAGGACCATTTTTATATAATTTTGCATAATGGTAATAGATGTATACTGAAAAAAATACCCATGACCAACATTCAATAATTAAACTTCTCTTCCTACCCTCCCGCATACATTTTAATGGAATAGCCCCAATTTTTCATGTCTGTTCTTACCTATCAAATGATGTTTTGTCCTCGGTTGATTTCTCTATCTTACATTTAAAGCAGCCTTTCATTTTAGCCAACAAGTCCTCATGTTCAGAATCGGAACTGTTAAATCCAAGATATTCTGCCATCTCTAAAGGTCCTGATGGTTTTCTCGGCTGGAAAAAAAATCATTATGAAATTACTCCTATAAGACAAAATATTTGATAACACCAGGCTCAGAATTATTTCCTTGTGTTTTGCCTTGATAATAGTCTTAAAGATACTCTGTTAGGACTAGTCTTTTTTTTATAGCACAGTTAACATAAAGAAAAAGTGTCTACTTTAGAAATGTTTGAAAGTACATCAGAAATGTAAACTTCCATTTTTTATAATTTCTCTTCATTAATGTTTTCCTTTATAAATTTTTTACATACCCTATCAAAATAATTAACTTTCTCTTCTTTACTTTCTTTCATTTTCTTAAGTGGCATTATTTTTGTCTTTATGCCATGTCTCCGCACTTTGAACTACAAGTCATAATAAACAAGATAGATTTTTTTTTGTATTTTGTTTAATTTCTATTCTATAATTATTTATCATTTGTTTGATCATGCTGTTTATCTGAATTTGCTGAGATAACTATTTGTTGATTCAACAAGTTTACTTTCCATAAATTGGGTGCTTGGAGTAAATCAAAAGACTTGCTGTGAGTCTTTGAAAACATTATAGTATTCCATCGAAAACTGTCAAATAAAGTGCATCTTGTTATTTCTGCAAACGAATGGGGACAATATAAACCTCCACAGGTTGTCAATGTAAGTTTTACCATAACAATATTTTTTTGCTTTGGTAAGAGTTATCAACATGAATTTTCATATCTTCCAATCTTTGTTTTTATTTAATCACAGTTATAAATGAGTTTTTCATAATTCATTAACTTAAGCATCTAATACAGTGCCAAAATTAACTTTAATATGTAATGGACATTAAATGTTGCTTCATATATATTTTCAACATTTAGATTTCTTTTTCTTATAAAGAGGAAAGTTCAAATAAAAAAAATCTGAATTCTAAAAAGAAATATTTCTGGAATAGCTTTAAAGATCCAGCCTGTACATGTTTTTTTTTTTGGCTAAAAATTATGAATCATTTGCTTTGTCATGTTGACATGTGTGTAATATAGTGAAAATGTGACTGATATAATTACATGTTCTTCCACAGGTTCAAATGGTTGTTTAAAATAATCCTCCGGCAAAGGAGCACCATCTGGATCCATTTTGGCTATTCTTAAACTGGTCCTTCTTGGCTCTGGTGGAGCTTTTGTCCTAAAAATTGAAAATTTATAATTACAAATATAAATTACAGACAAGGTAAGATTGGTGCAAACTTTAAAATAAACTGCTTCGCTGAGTGCAGCTGGATACGCCCGCAGAGGTCCAACCCTGAACAGTTGGGGCAAAAATGGACACAATATTCAAGCTTGATACAGGTCTGAATTTGGATTATATTTAAATATTTGACATATTATAGGTTTCTGAATAAATGTAGTCAATGAACTTGAAATTGGTTATATGAATTGAATTTATGTTCAATTAAAGATTTCTTGCTGTTGTGCAATACACTGTGCTGTTGCGCAATACTTAGTAAATCTGTTCTCAGACTATAAACAAATAAAGTTCAATTAATTCTCAATGTCATTTTAGAAATTTATGAAAATGTAAAGGGAGCTTACATAAATAGATATAAACAATTCATCAAAGTTTTATGAGAATTGCTGAAAGCATTTTTGAGTTATTGTCAGAAAACTGGAAAATCCCCCCTTTTTTAATGAATAAAACCCCATAACTCAGAAATGATAAATGAAAAATTTATAAAATTCTAAACGGAGCTTACATCAATAGATATAAACAATTCACCAAAGTTTCATAAGAACTGCTGAAAGAATTTTTGACTTTTTGTCTGAAAACTCGGAAACATAAAATCTAAAAGATATAAAAATCGAAAGGGAGATCATGTCAATAGATATAAACAATTCACCACAATTTCTTGCAAGTTGGTGAAAGCATTCTTGAGTTATTGTCTGAAAACTGGAAAATCCCCCTTTTTTAATGAATAAAACCCCATAACTCGGAAACGTAAAATCTAAAATTTATAAAAAATGAAAGGGAGCTCACATCAATAGATATAAACAATTCACCAAAGTTTTATGCAAATTGGTTAAAGCGTTTTTGAGTTAATGTCCGACATGTTGACGATGGACGGACAACGGTATACCATAATACGTCCCGTAAAAAGGCGTATAAAAACTACATACATATAACTTACATATATATGGACATTACACTAGTACAGCTTATTGTTACTGATCTATACATTTTTGTAACTAGTTTATTTGAATTATCAAATTATTAAAAGCATCACCTACAATTCTTCACACAGAAATTCACAAAATGTCAGTTATACTAATACAGCATTTTTTTTTGTTGTTTTACTGATAAGGTATAGAACCACTAATTCAGGCCCGGTCGGAAAGAACATACAAGAAAGTAGTACATATTTTAAACAAAATAGTTCCTACGCATAGCTGTATCTTTGTCAATAGGTGGAATATTTGGGTAGTTTTGGTAACAAATGAAAGCTTGGGGACTTGGGATCACTGTAGAACCCTTGTTGAAAATTTCTTTTTAATAATAAAGAAGTATATACAATTTTAATAGGAGGGCACATTTGCCCTGTTGTTCAGATCAGAAGTACCTGTTTTTGTACTATCAAACTTCCGGGAACCAGTACGCTCTAATATGCAATTAAAGGTATGTTGAATTTTTCAGCACAAGTCAGGATAAGGTATAGTTTTGACATGAAATAACTGCTACTTTATTTGAACTTAAGACAAAGTAGCCATTTATGCTTGAAATTGCAGAATTTAACATAGAAAGCAATGGGGCTATGAATTAGTGGTTTTATACCTATTACTGAAAGGCATGTGAAATTCTATTTTTAGAAATCATACCCTTTACAATGAAAATTAGTCACATTTGTTGTCAGTAATCATGTTACATTATTTTTTTTATGTAACAATTATGTTGGTGTCAAATTACAACCCTAAAATTGCTACAATAAGGTATTTCAGCTTTTTTTGATCATTTAGCATGCACACAGTTAAGATTTTACCTGAAGTTTAAATTTTTGCATTACCTAAGACTGAAACCAATGAAACATGTATATTATGACTAGTTAATAGTATAAATATTGCTTTTGGTCAAATTATCTAGTGAGTGTTCATATTTTATTGGGTTTCTTAGTGAATCATTTATTTCAAATGAAATTGATGTATACTTATATAGGATTTCCAAAATCTCACTTGAAATGCATTTTATAACCAGTTTAGCAAATTGTCTAGCTGGGAGATACATATATTGCTCTTGTTGATCCATGTTTATACATTAAAGTATGGTTTTTACCAAATCACTCTCCTTTTTCAACATGTAGAAAAAAGGGGGGTCAAAATTATCTATTTTTTTTTATGTTTGGACCACTGTATTTATATTCAAGGAAGAATCTTTGATAAAAATTAGACAAATATGTAAGGACACTATTATTTGAGTAGATATTAACAAATAAGAACTGGTAAAGATTGAAAAAGTGTCATATCTGTCACTATTAGTATCCATATAGAGTTTTCTTTGTATAACGCATATGTTACTACCAGTCTAATTTGAGCTTGAATTCAGTGATATTGTGTTTTGACTAAAGCTTTATGTGTTTTTCTATGCTAGAAATAGATCATAGAAGGGAATTAAGTCAAGCATAAGTCAATATAACAAGTAAGGTGCTGTTATAGGTATAGAACCACTAATTCAGGCCCGGTCGGAAAGAACATACAAGAAAGTAGTACATATTTTAAACAAAATAGTTCCTACGCATAGCTGTATCTTTGTCAATAGGTGGAATATTTGGGTAGTTTTGGTAACAAATGAAAGCTTGGGGACTTGGGATCACTGTAGAACCCTTGTTGAAAATTTCTTTTTAATAATAAAGAAGTATATACAATTTTAATAGGAGGGCACATTTGCCCTGTTGTTCAGATCAGAAGTACCTGTTTTTGTACTATCAAACTTCCGGGAACCAGTACGCTCTAATATGCAATTAAAGGTATGTTGAATTTTTCAGCACAAGTCAGGATAAGGTATAGTTTTGACATGAAATAACTGCTACTTTATTTGAACTTAAGACAAAGTAGCCATTTATGCTTGAAATTGCAGAATTTAACATAGAAAGCAATGGGGCTATGAATTAGTGGTTTTATACCATAAACTAGCTACATGCACCATCTTTCTACAAATAAAGGTTTGAAAAAAGAATCATGAAAAGATGGAATAATTTGAAAATTTTTTCAGGCACTAAAATCATGAAAATCCCCATTGGAATTTTCACAAGTAGTCATGTATATATGTAAATGCTGAGCTATGTAACTTATCATTCATGCAACATATTGCCTAGTTAGGTTAATATGAACTATGAATCATACTTTTCCTTCTTCACTGGCTTAGATTTAAGCTGAGTTGTTTTAGAGGGCTTTGTTGACTGTTTTATCTCTGTTTTCATCTACAACAGAAAAAGTAAACAATACATTACTGTAAATTCAGAAATTATTGCGATGTTTTTATTATTGGGAAAAATGCGACAGGGTTATAATCGCAATAATTTAAACTCACATTTTGGAATTTTTTTATATGAAATAAACAATATTTTTCTCAATATCGCAAAAATTTCAATCACATTTTAGTCTAAAATGACAAAATCGCAATAATTTCTGAATTTACAGTATAAGTTATATGGTTTGCTACTGATCCCCTACGGATCCATAGAGGGTTAGTAAAATCCATACGGGGGGAGGCCGTAGTCCCCTATGGATTTTACTTACCCTCTATGGATTCGTAGAGTGACGTCATGAACCCCCTATGAAATTTACTAACCCCCTACGGATCCATAGGGGGTCAAGACGTGACGGTGTTTAACCAATCACAACGTGATAATTTACAAGTATATAGAAAATTGGTTACAGATATAACCGTTTACTGGTTCATTATAACTATAAGGAATAATATGAGTAAATATAAATTTCATTAGCCATATTATATCATTTGGCTATGTGGCAATCTAACATGCATGTAAATTCATCCTGAAAACTAAATGTAACGTTTGCAACTGGATTACAATTAAAAACATGATATTTTGGTGCAAACTGAGGGAAGTCTTTGTTTTAGAAATAGGTTGTGGTTGTTTGTATATATGACAAATTATTCAAAGAAAGAAAAATGGTAATATAAAAAAAAATCCTTACCTTCCTACCCTATTTTTTACAAATTTTAAAGATGTAATATTATTTTTTGGGGCCTTTTAAATAACATATGTTATCATCTGATTTAAATATCATGCATGTTTATATATTTTATACAGAGAATATTAGGAAATTAGTTTGCTTAGAAAACTGTTTATGATAATTACCTCTGTTATACCCAGTTTAGCAAAAAAGTCAGCATTATCTTGAAGATTCTTCAGTCGAAGTTGTTCATAACTGCTTACTCCCTTAAATCAATATAAAAATAAATGTTACATTGTCTATATTCTGAAATTTAGGAAAGAACATAGAAAAGTCAAATAACCAGAGGCTCTCAAGTGCCTGCGTCGCTCACCTATATTTACTGATGCTTTTGAAATCATGTAAAATAAGGTTAAAATCATAATTAATAGTATTAGATATTAGATATTATAATGATATCTAAGATAATAACAAAAAACTGTAAAATTTCCGTAAAATTACTAACTCAGGGGCAGCAACCCAACAATGGGTTGTCAGATTTGTCTGAAAATTTCAGGGCAGATAAATCAAAATCTGATGAACAATTTTGCCACCTGTCAGATTTACTCTAAATGCTTTAGTTTCAGAGATATAAATTGACTATAAAGGTCAATAACTCCTAAAGGGGTCGACTGACAATTTTGGTCATGTTGACTTATTTGTAGGTCTTACTTTGCTGAACATTATTGCTGTTTACAGTTTATCTTTATCTATAATAATATTCAAGTTAATAACCAAAAACTGCAAAATTTCCTTAAAATTATCATTTTAGGGGCAGCAACCCAACAATGGGTTGTCAGATTCGTCTGAAGATTTGGAGATGGATAGATCTAAACCTGATAAACATTTTTACCCCATGTCAGATTTGCTCTAAATGCTTTATTTTCAGAGATATAAGCCAAAACTGCATTTTACCCCTATGTTCTATTTTTAGCCATGTCAGCCATGTTGGTTGGCAGGCAGGGTCATCGGACACATTTTTTAAACTAGATACCCTAGTGATGATTGTGGCCAAGTGTGGTTAAATTTGGGCCATTAGCTTCAGAAAAGATTTTTGTAAAAGTTAACAGACGACGTGGGATGACGGACGCCAAGTGATGAGAAAAGCTCACTTGACCTTTCAGGTCAGGTGAGCTAATAAAAAGTGGACACTGATTTTCATGTGACTTATCAGATGTATTTTTTCTGTTATTCTGATTGTATATATTTTGATGTACTTGTTAGTTTAGGGGCTCATGTGCCACTATAGGAGATTTAATATATATTGACAAACATTATTTTTTTCAAATATGAAATAAAAATTGGAAAAGTTTTCAATCAACATGCTCAACTTGCCAAGCCTATCAAATATAATAGGGTATAATTTCTTTTGCCCATTTCATCTTAAACCATTACAAAAAATGAATTCCATGCACATCATGTAAAACTTTGGATAAGAAAACATTTTATATACATGATATATATATATATATGTTCATGACCTACATTTAGCATTTTGTACTAGTAATTTCAAATTCAAATAGTATAAATTTACAAAAAATGATGTTAAACTACTGTTACTGGATGACTTATTATACATATTTATCAAGAAAATCATTTACAAATTAAATATCAAAATATGCATGTAATCAGTTAAAGATACATGTAGTTTATTTTACTTACAACTACAACTACATAAGTACATATCATGAATATATCAGTATACTATATACATGTATATGGTTAATTAATATTTTAAATCCCCTTACAGTTGTAGATTTTATCTTACATTATCAATGCCATTTTCATCAGCATGAACAGCTAATGGAGCTTGAATCTCAGGAATATTTTCTTCTTTCACTGAGATTTTCTCTTCTGTTTTCACATCCAACATTTTAGTGGTTCTAGGAATAAGTCTCTTTCTATAATCTTTTGGTTCGAGCTTCTTTGGTTTTGTGTCCTCGTCTCCTTTCTGCAATGTCAAGTAAAGCTGTTGTACTACATCATGTATAATGAAATATCTTATATTGGAAAATAAGATACACAACCATTTGACATGCACAAGAGATTTATTGTCCCAATTTTTTTTTATAGCTTTAGTGCCTCAGTAGGCACCCTTAGCCATTAGTCACATGCCCTAGACTAGTAAAACTCTATGCTAACTATTCTGTGTCATTTGGTCTCTTGTGAAGAGTTGTCTCATTAGCTATCATACCTGATCTTCTTTTTTATAGAAAGTTTTTGCAAAAAAAAATTTGGACACATAAGGAAAATGTTGGAATATTGTCTTTCATTTTTAAGACAGGCTGTGTGTTTAAATCAGTATTCATATGCCAGAAAAGCTTCTCAAGTGTAATAAACAGTCAAGGATATAACTCTATAGGGTTATTACAGAAAATAACTTGCATGTGTTATTACAGACACTTTCATGAGTTGTCTTCTCTTTAATCCTTAAATTTTCAAAATCTGTAATAACATATATAGATATAAGAAGATGTGGTATGAGTGCCAATGAGACAACTCTCAAGATTTATAAAAGTAAACCATTATAGGTCACAGTATGGTCTTCAGCACGGAGCCTTGGCTCACACCGAACAGTAAGCTATAAAGGGCTCCAAAAAATTACTAGTGTAAAACCATTCAAACATGTTTGTTATTTGTAAAATAAGTCATAAATATTTTAATTTTTAGTGGGCTCTAGGGAACTCTTTAAACTTTGAGCAGAAACTAAATGCATAGCCTTGATAACTAATTTTTGAATTGAATTGATACATTTTTCATTAACCATGGTAAATCAATTAGACAAGGCTTTTAAGGGACAAACTTAGCTGTAATAACAAGGCTTAGTTATTAAAGGCATGTAACTTATTATATGAGACACTTGGGAATTACTGGGAAGCTTGCGCAGAACCTCATTACATGCTCTGATCATTATTTCTTACAATAAATTCAAATACACTGTAATTAAGCATGATGTATGTCTGAGCAAATGCTTTGGAGTGATGTAGAGAAGCTGCAATAACACCCTTTAGTTATTACAGGCATATTTTTTCTGTAATAACATAGGTGTACTATGCATGATTGGCAAACTATGAAGTGTCATTTCTTTCTAAAATTAAGTATACATAAAGACAATAGTAATTATATATAATTAATATCAATAAAACTTGTATACATTTTAACAAAACTAATGATGTATATTGTCCCTTTGAAACATGTAACATACATATGTTATCCCAGTTCTTTGATTTTTTAGTCCACAATAACAAATGTATGTTATTTTTCTCTAATAACCCTATAGAGGCAGTGTTCTCCCCAGGCCCTTAAGGGACCGCGGGCCCGCGATGTATAATTTTTTACCGTGGTGGTATCGTTCTTACCGCGATGTATAATTTTTCTCTGTGGTGCTAAAACTTTCAGTAAAAAAATCTTAAATCGGTCAAGTTTTAAATGACTTGTTAAATCTCTTCCGTGCGGTATAAAATTCCAGGTGAAATTTGACCAGTTCAAACCAGTTCAACACAGATTGTTTACATCACATGATCGATTTACCTTATGAGGTTAACCTTGTTGATTGGATTTAATCGATGTAATTAACACTTGCAACATGATTCTTTTATGTTTTAATTAAGAGTTCATAACTTTATGATCACAGATAACTATTTTGTGGCTTCACTCACAACCCAAGCACTGACCTGTCACAAGTCGGCAAATACTTTGTACACAAACAGTGTCTTGACCCGATAGGTACATTTTTTGTACATAAAGGTGGCTCATTACGTATAATTGACAATTATACATTTCTCAATTCTTATATTATATCATGTATATGTTAATAGTTAAGTATACAAAGTGTTTTTTGATTTACTTCTTTTTTACCAATAATTTTCTGACTCAATGTCTAAATAACACAGTACCACAGTATTAAAACAAAACAAGAGACATAAAAACTACAGTAACTAGAAATAGAGCTAAGCGTCGCGGCGCAACGTGATGAGACACAACTAATTGTATGAAATATTTCAACAAGCTGTCCTCACACGTTACCCTGGTGCTATCCAAAAATCCTGGGGAGAACACTGGGAGTTATATCCTTGACTGATAAAGGAGCTGTTACACTTCAAGTATTAGATGTTTGCTACTTCATCATTTTCATGTTTCTACAAAATGATATATAATTTACCAAATCTCCACTGTTCATTTTATAAGCTTGGTAGCTCCCACGCACATAAACAATGTCATCAAACAACCTGTTCTTATTGTGATGTAACAACATATTGACAATTTTGACATAGGCTGTATATAAGAAAGTTCATGAATTGGAAAGTCGTCCATGCACAGAACTTAAGAACTGCTAGAGAACCCATTTAGAATATAAATGTTAAGTGCAAAAAAATCAAATTTAGCATAAAAAAGAAAAATGCTTTTGTGACCTTTTTATTTCATGTCATCATGATCATGATATAGCAGCAACTTTTGGTTAGAGAGTTTTCTAAATATGAATAAGTTGCTAGATTTAGATTGTTCTTCTGTAAGACTGCCAAGGATCAAACTAATAAACGAGCACTGAAGCATAATTTCAGAAAAGTTCCCAACCATAACATAAACCTGGGAACAGTATATCTAACATGTTCCTGCATAAACTGATAAAAAATAAGTAAACTTCTGCATTATTACTGGTACAATATATGTGATTTTACGCTCACCTTGCTCCGCTTTGAAGTAACAACGGGAGGAGATAATGTTGCAGCTTTTCTTTTCTTCATGGAAAAATTTGCAGAGGTTGGCATGTTGTTTGTGTAACTTTACTATACAAACCGCGTCAAAAAATTGTTATGAAACAGTTCCCGCCAGTACTTTCGGATTTCATTCGGAACATTTTTTTAGTCTTCTTTCTTTCGTATCAATATCCACAGAAAGGAACACCTCACACGTCCTCTAACAAGAACCACATATTATCTCACCCGTGAGAATTAAATTATCTTTAAATAAAGTGCATGCAAGCAAGGATTTCATTTTGTATAGTGAGACTATACAAATCCTTGATGTAAGCAAAACGGTTATAGCATAACATATCATGAAACTGAGTCTATGAATTTTAAAGATAATATTACATTGCCAACTAAAGAAAAATTCTCTTAAAATTGCTATGATCTATCTGGGACTATTATACTAGTATAATAGTCCCAGGATCTATAATAAAAAAAATCGATTCATCGGTATGAAACTGAGGAGAAAATGAAAGATTTCTTATTGTTTGGACATAAAAACAAGTGAGGGTAAACTGAATGGATAGGTTTCATATTCCTGATGTAGGTACGGAAGCATATCAATTAATTTATACTTGTGATTATTCTTTTGTGAAAAAGACATATGTTTTATTTTATTTTTACGCTGTCTTAATTTGTAAATAGTTATTTGGTATATATGTCTCGTAAGTCAGATTTTTGGCTGGGTTTTGGTTGTTTTATTATGTATGCATGTACTACGTATATTGTGTGTTAATTCTTGTTATTGCAATCAATATGTCACACTTTAATAAACAAATTAATATTAGTATTACAGCAATTAACTGAATAAAATTGAGAATGGAAATGGAGAATGTGTCAAAGAGACAACAACCCGACCATAGAGCAGACAACAGCTGAAGGCCACCAATGGGTCTTCAATGCAGCGAGAAACTCCCGCACCCGGAGGCGTCCTTCAGCTGGCCCCTAAACAATTATGTATACTAGTTCAGTGATAATGGACGTCATACTAAACTCAAAATTATACACAAGAAACTAAAATTAAAAATGATACAAGACTAACAAAGGCCAGAGGCTCCTGACTTGGGAAAGGCGCAAAAATGCGGCGGGGTTAAACATGTTTTTTGAGATCTCAACCCTCCCCCTATACCTCTAGCCAATGTAGAAAAAACAAACGCACACCAGTACGCACAGTAAAACTCAGTTCAAGAGAAGTCCGAGTCCGATATCAGAATAGGAAACAAAAGAAAATAAACAAAATGACAATAATACATAAATAACAACAGACTACTAGCAGTTACTGACATGCCAGCTCCAGACCTCAATTAAACTGATTGAAAGATTATGTCTTCATCATATGAATATCAGGCACAATCCCTCCTGTTAGGGGTTTAGTAATATACCATCATAAAATATATGAGAAGAACATAACCCGTGTCATGCCAACAACTGGTTTTAGAATAAATATGTTTAATTCCGATGCAAAGACCCTATATATAAGTGAATCAATATTAAAGCCAAAATATGCAATCTTTAATGACCTGACAACAGTATCGTAACTATACCTCTTCTTAATAAGTCTGTTTAAAGGTTTTGTTAGCCTTTGAGGTGAATACTGACATTTTTGTGCTTTGTAAAGAATATTACCATAAAAGATTGGATGTGAAATACCCGAACGTATAAGATGTCTGCATGTTGAGTTATATTTACGAATGATGTCCTTATACCGATGATAAAATTTAGTAAATGTTTTGACTAGTTTAAGATATCGAAAACCCTGGTGTAATAATTTTTCAGTAATACATAAATTTCTCTCGCTAAAATCTAATACGTTGTTACATACACGAGCGAATCGTACAAGTTGAGATATATAAACACCATGTATTAAAATGATTTTGGATTTCGGAACTTAGATTTAAATTTGATTGTGAATAGAAAGTTAACACGAATTTCCCGCTGAAAATCTAAAAAGGATATTGTCACTTTATTTCACACATCCACATAAAAGGATCAACGATTGGGGATATTAGTTCATTGTTAAAAACTACATGCATTTGCCCACAAGGTTAACATGTTTAATCTTTTGTATTCGAAACAAGACGACAACTTGAATTTATTCAAACTGAAAAACTAACTGATAAATTAAAAACAATAGATAGATGAAAAAAAAAATTGAACTCGATCTGTAAATCGATGCTATTTTTTTTCGACCTCAAGGTCATATGTTCGTCCGGTGGCCGTGCTCACCACTGAATACATTTGTGTACATGTTTAACCTTACATTGGTATCATAAGTTCATGTTTTTGTGACATTTTGTAATTTTGAGAGAAAGGACGCAATTACATATAAATATCTTTTAAGAACTATTCATTATTTTTTAAAAACTTTTTGGATACTTTTATTTAGGTTCTGTTATCATTATTCAGTTTATTATTACAGTAGTTTAATATGATACAGAGTGCCACCTAACGAGGAACCGTCTCCACATTAATATGATACAGAGTGCCACCTAACGAGGAACCGTCTCCACATTAATATGATACAGAGTGCCACCTAACGAGGAACCGTCTCCACATTAATATGATACAGAGTGCCACCTAACGAGGAACCGTCTCCACATTAATATGATACAGAGTGCCACCTAACGAGGAACCGTCTCCACATTAATATGATACAGAGTGCCACCTAACGAGGAACCGTCTCCACATTAATATGATACAGAGTGCCACCTAACGAGGAACAGTCTCCACTCACAAATAGGGGTCTGTGCAATGCAAAATATTATATCATAACCTAAAAATAGTTTAACTATCACATTTATTATAACTTAGGGAGCTACCATTTGATTTTTATGGGGGAGGGGGGCTAGGATGAAAAATTTTGTCCTGCTTTTTTTTTTAGTTGTAATCTCTGTCCTTCCTTTTTTTTTTTACTCTATTCGGTCTTGTTTTTTTTTAATAGTTTATCCTGAATTTTTTTACACAAATTGTCATCCTGCCTTTTTTTTACCCAGTTGCTCATCCTGCCTTTTTTTACTCAAAACTCCTGTCCTGCCTATTTTTTTCAAATTTCATCCTCAAATTTTCATTTCAGTCATGTCGAATATTCAAAAACAAATTCAACGATTGTCATTGAAATAAATGTACAAAAAGCAGGATAAAGACAATATATAACTTGTGTGTCTTTATTAAAAATCAGCTGTATTTGTATTCGACTCGAAACAGGAGTAATAGCTCGCTCAAGCTCGCATTACACCTGTTTCTTAACCTCGTACAGATACAGCTGATATTTAAAGACACTAATTAGTTATTGTCAAAGAGGGGCGAAAGATACCAGAGGGCAGTCAAACTCATAGATTGAAAATAAACTGACAACGCCCTGGCTAATTGTAAATTTATTTGATCAATATCAAATTGTCAATTTATTTAATCAATATCAAAATAAAAATTACAAAAGTTGTACAAAACAATAACAGGCATAGTGAAGGCCGTACTTTGACGTATAATGGTTTACTTTTACAAATTGTGACTTGGTTTTGACATTTAGTCGACCCCAGGACAAGCCAAGCTATTTTAAGTTAGCTTGACATGATATAATATATGGATAATGCAAATTTTTAGGACAAACTGCATAAATGTTTTGATAAACAGACCGAAAGATGAAAGATCAAATTGAATTCGTACGAAAAGTTATCTCTAAATTTAATATGCAGTTCATGTAGAAGAGTACTATACATCTTGTACACGGGAAACTGTTTAATGTCTTAACACAACACATTAAGAAATTCTGTAAAAAGTAAACCAACAAAAATACTGAACTCCAAGGAAAATTAAAAACGAAAAGTCCCTTTACAATTGGCAAAATCAAAAGCTCGAACACGTCAAACGAATGGAAAACAACTGTAATATTCCTGACTTGGTACAGGCAAATGTAATATATAAAAGCATACTGTGTATGACGTCATGCCACATTATCCCTTACGCAATTTACAAAACAAAAGCATCAAAGGGACACAATTATAGTATTACTCTGCTATATATTCTACATTTCAAAGTCAAAATAAGGTCTTTCACAATGCTTTGGGAGTCTGTATTGTTTTTAGACAAACATGTTCTTTGTCTTTATGTTAGATGTTGTTTGTGCTTCGTGTCAATTTGATGAGGTACAAATGGTTTTTATTGTTTGTTCTCATGTTGTGTTGTTAAATCACTATCCCAGGTTAGGAGAGGGTTAAGCGAACACACTTAACCTCACCACATTCTATAAGTGCCTGTTCAAAGTCAAGAGCCTTTATTTCATGTCTCTGGTTGCTGTCTGTAACATTTGATTTTTGTTTATTGCTTTTTTTCATAAATCAAGCCGTTGTTTTTTTTCTTTTGAATTGTTTTACATTTTGTAATGTCTACGTCTTTTATAACTGACGGTTCGGTTTGGTATGTGTATTGATCATTGTTACGGTGACCTATGGTCGCTTAAATTCGCTCTGTGGAATGACGGGTAATTGGATTACAGTAGGAAACTCTAAGCCTGTCGACGCATCCGGTTTCACCATTACTTGACTTCTTTGGGTTTTTCCTCAATTATTGTTTTTTTTTACATTGATTTGTCTTTTTAATCGATTTCTTTTATATTTGAAGATCTGTAATACTAATAATAAAAATAATAATAATAACTGTTAAGCCCTCATTGACGCTAGTATAAAGATAATTTATCAGAGGCTTTCACACATTGGTCATCAACAACAACTAGCATTAAAAACAAATTCATTATAAAATATCAAAGACAACGTCTGCAGGGAGTACCTCAAGTCTAATTTTAGATCACTCAAACTTTTTTTCAATCTGGAATTATAGGTATATTCATAGATCAGAGTACTAGTCATTATAATGTGACAATAAAACACATTCAATACCACATAATAGAATCATTTTAACTCAGGTACGGTTATTATTTAGTTCAAAAAGAACATTAAAGGGTAATGTTTACTGACACCGACAATACAACCTAATACTGAATGTATAAATGGTGTTCGCAAGTGTCATAATATTTTCGCTATGTCGAGAACGGTTTTGTATGGTGACCGGATAAGGCCATTTCGCGTTTTCGCTCTTCATATTCTATAGGGCGAAAACGCGAAATCGCGAAGTCCAAAACGCGAAAACGCGAAGTCGAAAACCCGAAAACGCGAAATATGTTTTCTTTCCGATTTCGCGTTTTCGACTTTTCGTGATTTCGCGATTTCGCGTTTTCGTGTTTTCGACTTCGCGTTTTTGCGTTTACGACTTTGCGATTTCGCGTTTTTGAATATGAAGGGCGAAAACGCGAAAACGCGAAATGGCCTTAACCGGCCACCATAGTTTTGGTCAGTCATTTTGCAGTTAGAATTATATATGATTAAAAACTTGCATAGTATGCAGTTTGTGATTAACGTTTGAACTTGCATTTATATTCATGTTAGATAGTTAATTTACATTTATTTTATCTTTAATCTTTCAAAATTTGATATTCTAGTCTTACAATGTTAATTATAACATAAAAGTCAAGCCGCTGCATGATTAATTTCTAAAGTCATCACATAACTAATTCATCAAATTAATAGCTGAGATTTAAAAACTACATTATTTATTTTGATCGTACTGGCTATTCACTTACTTCTTGAAAAACGAGTTAAAGAAGCTGTTCTCTTTTCTTACTTTATTTATAATGTCTGGTAATTACCATAACAACAAAGGTAAGTCTATTTCACTTTTATTGTATCCCGAGGTAAATCTAATCATTGAACTATTAAAGTCAATAACTTGACCGATTATTTAGTTAGAGAGAAAAACGTCTTTCTATTTTGATCATAACGCTTAATTTGTATCTTTGAAAGGCACAGTTATCTATATACCTTTATATTTACATCTTGAATGCAAGATACGGATACAATTCAGGGTAAAATGCTATCGCCAAAATTAAGCGAATGCTTACATTCCAAGATACATTTACTTTATGCTCATACATTTTCTCGATATAAAGAGGGAACATTGTTACGTTTTGAAACTAGAACTAGTGAGGCACAACTAAAAGTATACTCAGTCCATCGAAATAATTGTAACACTGTATTTTATATTGGATAAACATAATACAATCAAAAAGAGAATGATACGTTGTCCTGGAAATTAGAAATCGAAAGCAAAAAATGTGTTAATTCTTTGATAAAATAAATAAGTCTCTTCTGACTTGTTTTAAAAATATATATATATATATATGTACCTCAATACTAGTAGCAGGTATATCTGGACTCATTTTCATGAAATTAAACTGAATCTCTTCAGACGTACACCAAACAAGTGCACTTACATCGGCAGTTCGACAGAATGCGGATTTGTCAAATTTACCATATTTATTTAACAAGAGCCCTTTTACGGCAGTATTGTTCGGGCTGAATTAAAAAAAATTGTAAGAATGCTTTTCTTGCGGATTGATAGTCGCCTAATAAATCTAGGACGATTTTCGACATATTAAAAGCTTTTGATTTCAAGGAAATGTCTGCCATTGAATAATCTACATCCATAACCAGTTGTAAACCTTGGCGGGAAACCTGACACCTGACACTCTCTGACATTACTACATAAGAAAATGCCTGTACCAAGTCAGGAATATGACAGTTGTAGTCCATTCGTTTGATGTGTTTGAGCTTTGATTTTGCCATATGATTAGGACTTTCCGGATATCCTTTTTGAATTTTCCTCGGAGTTCAGTATTTTTGTGGTTTTACTTCTTGGAATTGAGAATATTTTTCCCTTCATTTACATATGATGTATGTTTGTCGATTGGGAAATTCCACATTGATACATCAAAGTTAGATATTTGATCTGAAAATAAGATACATTGCCAACCATAGCTATGCAACGTATATAGTTTCTCTAAAAGAATTTCACGAGCGTGGCCCACTATTTTGTTCTCAAACATGTTGTTATCAGGAACGAAGTAATGCAAGTAAACTGAACTCTCAACACAATGAATTAGCCTGTTGAAACATCGCATAAAACAAGGTAAAATATTATTAGGTTTCAATATAGATCTTGGCAGTTCTTCTATTTCATTTCAAAATACTCAAGTATTTTGTTCCTACTTGTAGGGTTAATAGCAGCATTGTTAATGCTGCTCCTACTCTGCGTCACAGAAGGTGGACGGTATTCAAAAAGTCCATTTAAATATGTGATGTTCTGTCCGGACGGAGAAGTTCATGATAAGTTAATATCTAATCCAATCAGATACACATGTAAACCAGGACCAGGAAGAAACGTAAAATGTCAAACTTTATGTAAGTATTGATAAAAATAAGTTACAATAGAAAAAAAAAGCTACGAACTGGATACACTATAACAAAATCAAAGAAGAAAATACCTATTGAGGATTCATTGTTATTCATGAATACCAACTTTCGTGTATTTCGTGGGTAAGGGTTTGTATATTTCACAAAGTTAAACTTTTCGATAGTCCTGTATTCAAACAACGAAATCAAATATCCACGGATATACAATTGTCCACGAAAATGATACTATCGAAAAAAAAAACCCACAGTACTTATAAAACCCCCATGGACTGGCAGTCCACTTACAGAGTTATTGACTCAAAACTATAAAAAAGGAAACAATAATAGGATTTGCAATCTACATGATCTACAAACTGTATAATGTTTCAAACCAAAGAGATAAATCTACTAATGTATTCATTCTTTTCAAAAATGAATTAGAAGAATACATGAAATCATACAATCTAGACAAAAAATACACTACAGTCCGAGTGTTTCAAAATTTAATTTAAAAAGAACAGAAAACAAAATCATGATTAAAGTTTTATCAGTGAGAACAAAATTGATTAAACAATGTTTGTTATGTAAATGTGTATAAAACATTGAAAAGCCTAATAACAGAACCAATACTTTTTGGAAGAACAACGAGTTTTAAAATGAGATATATTCCATACAGATAAAACTCTACAGACACAAAAAAATCAGATTTCATCTAAAAACTTTTGTCTTGTTCGAAGGAAAACAATAAAACGCTTTCGAAATTTGAATTAACAATTGTTTCTATTTTATCCCATTTTTAATTACATTATTTCTTTTTACTTATTGTTGTAGTTTATAATTTGAAAGGATATTTTGAATGTCCAGGAAAAGGCTATATGAGTGGCTTTGAGTATACTATGGGATATGGTGAGAACGTTCGGTGCTGTCAGGACCGAGGTAGATAAATAAACAGTTATATCCAGTGTCTAATATGAAAATAACCCTTAAACAATTTAGTGCGTCTTTAAGCGGCTCAAAATGAATACATTGGTCGTAAATGGGTCGTTGTCAAAAGTGAATATGATATTCGAGCTATACATGTAATTATTGTTGACCGAGTACAAGTAACATCACCAAATTCTTAAACAATATGTTAAACTATGTTAAATCTCTAAAACGTAGCCGAATGTAAAATATTGAAATTAAAATCATGTTTTGTAGAACAAGGGCCATATTTCCAGTAGAAGCAAAACACAACACTGAAAACTAAACATTACGCAATGTGGATTGTAAATCCACTTTACACAAAACACACTTTAATGCACGTATAACAATTCAAGATAATATTTTAATAACTGTGGTAATCTCAAACAATTCCATAACTATTTGTAGGATGTTTTCATAATTTATTACAGTCAATTTGATTTAAATAACTAAAATTATTGCAGATATCACATACTCTAAGGAAGACTGTACAGTACAACTTAACAATGATTTGATAAATGGGCGATCATACAGAATATCTAAAGGGAAAGTTATGGTTGGTTCGAAAACCTTAGACGGCGGGTGTGTATAATTTGATTCCTTTTTTTAAGTTTTCGATTAGACAAGTTGATAATGACGATGAATTTGTTTTTATCTGAGCTAAATAAGAGTGTCAAAATGCATGATATTGTTTTATATAAGGGGTATCGTACATTTATCGGATTTGAATGTTATCATTTGATAATTAACATGTTTGAAAATAGAGGTATGACAAAGATGCAATATACACATGCTAGAGGATGCACGAACTTCATCAGTGACTGGGATATAAAAGGCATCATCGGATTGATATGATGAAAGAGAGTCATGTTTTTACTTTTTTGAATAAGATAGAAGATTACATTATATGTTTGTTCATCTGTATGGAAAGTAACAGATATAAAAGTGAAACACAACACATGCACGAACAAATTTATATGAATCGAAAGTACAACATTTACATAAAACCTTGAATATACATTTGCTAGTCGTATGTTTTCAGTTTGTCAGTTTTCTAACAAAAGGTCGGTGTTTCTCTCAGTGTAGTGTAGCTTCCTCCACCAATAAAAACTGACCGCCACGAAATAACGCAATAGTGCTGAAAGTGGCATTAAACACCAATCAAGCAATCGTTATTTTACACTGACAAATATTTTTGTAGACAAGCTTAGCTTACTAAAAAGGTAAGAGAGACAATACAAAGGAAAGTTGAAAATCATAAAGTAAATAATAATCATTTCATACAAAACAAAACAAAACAAAAAGACGAACAATTACCATGATAACAAAGTATAACATATAACGCAAAATATATAGTACCTTGATTCCCAATAAACTTGGGATACAATAAGATGCTCAGTTAGGTAAGTGGTTCATGTCCCACATGTGGCACCCGAATTGTTGCTCATATAAAACCAGACGATAAGTCGCATTAAGTAATGTTTAAACAGTGGTCAAAAGGATAGGATTGTGGACACTTAATATATATTTATGGACTCTTAACGATAGTAGAGGACCGTAGTTTGACATCCATATGTCATTCTGTCGGATGTTGTTGTCTTATTAAGAGCTTGTCCGAGAGTCTTTCAAATATTAAACATAACCCAGTTAAAAAAAATGTAGATACCTACATTTGTACGATAACATTCTGAACAAATTCCTCATATCTACTAACAATGGCATATCCATTTTGTTGAAATCCTAGCACAAAAAAGTATTTCTGAAAATTTGTAATTTTAATTCTAATTGTGGTTTAAAGTCTATATTTTGATTTTGTCTGGTTTTGTGAATATCCATATTTTTGAATTTTGCATGAGTTTAGAACTTAAGTTAATACTTTTTTAAGCACAGTGTCTTTTTTTAAAAAAGAGCTATTTTATTAATGTATATGATGTATGAAATATATATATTTCAGGAGAACCTGGTACAACACGGAGTGCTCATTTCGTCCAAAACGAAAGTATTAAAAGATAGAGAAAGACAATCTACACAAACGAAATAACTAAAAATTAAACACTTTTAGTCCATGTAGTATTTTACATAAATGCTAAACAATTGAAATAAAACAATTGAAAAAAAAAAATCCCTTATATGATATTAGTAGCATCTACTTCCTCATCTCATTTTTTTCTTGGAATTTGCACAGATAGACTGTTGCATATAACTCATCGTAGACAGTTTGAATTTGTGATCTTACAATTTGGAATTTCATAAGCACACGAAGTGTGCGAAATGGAATTCTAATTTTATGAATAACCGAAACAAGATATGAAAATGTTATCTCTTGCTGCGCACGCAGCCTGACTAGCCAATCCCTAAGATAATGCATGTTCCACGTGCATTTCCTCATTCTCTTACTGAAGAGCGTCCAGTGAAGAGAAAAAAGAATTTGACTGCAAAATCTAAACATAGGCTCAACGAAACCAATCAAAAATAAACTTCAGGAAACGACTGACAATAAACCCCATTAAAGAAAACATGTCTTTCAGTGGATAATTGTCTCATTTATATTATACCACATTTCTCAATTATGTACTTCTTGTTGATTGTATAAACCTGTTAACATTTGTGTTTGTAAAATTATTGGAAATTATAGGTTTACAGTAAAATCTCATAAAAGTAGACTCATTTGTCCATTTTGCCTGATCTATTACATCTTGGATAGATAATCCAATGCGTTTTGCCTTTGAAGAAGAAGAGGCTGAACGTGTCGAATGACCAGTAAAAAGGGATGAGAAACCAGATTTTTTAATTGTCTCTTTTAACCATCTTGCAACTGATGAAGGAACTATATGATGATGAGGTTTAACAACACTCAAAAGGAGCCACGATCTATCAATATTATCTCTTTGTTCTCTCCATGATTGTGTGCGAGACATATAGTCATTAATGCAAGTAACAACACATAAACTCTTTTCATTAGGGAAAGAGTTGAAAGCTATTGATTTAGTTTTAGAACCAGGACGACAAGTTTTGGTTAGTTTTGGTAACTCAAACAATATTTGTGAACCTTGTTGTTTCATATATTTACAATTTAACATGCCTATTTCAGATGCTCTACCAGCTGAAGATAGAACCAACAACATCACTAACTTCCATGAAAGGTGTTTAATGTCTAAAGCTTGATTTGTACCCCATGATAAAATTTCATTCAAGACATTATCAACATCCCAAGAAAACTCATATTTTGACGTTGGTGTCCTTTCATTGAAAATGGCTCTCATATGTCGAATAATAAGAGGATGTTTTCCTACTTGTAAACTATCAATAAATGGATGATTCTTTGAAATTGCAGACCTATAAGTATTTATTGTTCTATATTGTAAACCATCTTTGAACAATTTTGTAAGAAATTCAATTACAGTGGCCAGAAGGGCCTGCAAAGGATAAACTGATTGTTCACTACACCAGTTGACCCATTTTCCCCAGGAGCTCTTGTAAGAAAGTTGGGTTCCTGGTCTCCATGCTTTTTCATGCAACTCTGCAGCTGCTTTTGATAGTCCCTCTGTAGTACTTCGTCCCCTGAAATTTTCAATGCCACAAGATTGAGAGACCCTGTTTGAATCAGTGGGTGTGGTTCCCCTTGGGGTGACATCAAAAGATTTGGAAATATTGGTATTTTTATTGGATCTTACAATAACATTGGATACCATGGTTGTGCTTGCCATGCAGGGGCTATTACTAATAACGTTGCCTTGTCCTTCCTGGCTTTGGAAAGACAGCGACCTATCATTGAAAAAGGGGGAAGGCATAGCCCTTTATTGTTGTCCATGGCATCAGAAATGCGTCTATCGCATGACTGATTGGATCTGGTTTCCAACTCACAAATTTTTTCATTTGAAATTTAGTCGTGAAGCAAACAGATCTATCTCTAGGGGACCTGTTTGTTTTTGAACTTGTTGAAAAATATTTTGATCTAGACTCCAATCGCTGGAGTCGTTTATATTTCTCGAGTGCCAGTCTGCTATAAGATTTTCTTTCCCTGGGAGGTGCTCTGCAGTGAGACTTATCTTCCTTGCTTGACACCAGTTCCACATGTTTTTCATTATTTGATTTAAATCTTTTGATTTTGTGCCCCCCATTCTGTTTATGTATGATATTGCTGAAGTATTGTCTATTCTTAAATGAATGGCCAAATGAAGCCTTTCTTTTGCGAATGTTTGCACTGCAAGAAAAGCTGCCAATAGTTCTTTTGCATTGATATGGAAATTTGATTCTTGCTTTCCCCATATGCCACCTGTAATTTCGTCTTGAAAAGAAGCCCCCAGCTTAAATTTGAGGCGTCTGATGTGATCACAATATCTGGACAAGGCGTTATTATTGCCTTTCCATTGAACTCTTCTATTTTTGTTACCCACCAAATTAATTCGTCTCTTGCTGTTTGTGAGAGAATTATTTTTTGTTCGTAGGACTTTCCCTTCAACAGACCCTTTATTTGATCCATTTGAAGGAAACGACTTTGCAAATTTGCTGGAAATATTGCTTGCATAGAGGATGACAGCTTTCCTGTCAACTGTGCTAATTGCCTTACTGTCACAATGTCAGCACTTAACATTTCTCTGCATTTTGTTTTTATCTGAGATACCTTTTCTGTTGGTAGATAGAACATCATTGCTTCTGAATTTATCTGAAAACCCAGAAACTCTATCTTTTGAGTTGGATTTAAGCTTGATTTTTTCCAATTTATCAGAAATCCTAATTTTTGAAGAAGAAATAATGTTGAATTTCTGTGAGTTTCCAGTTTTTAGGAGTTTTCTGCCATGAGGAGTATGTCGTCTAGATATATGATCATACGAACACCCATCCTTCGTAATATACCTATTACTGGTTTCATTAGTTTGGTGAACAACCTTGGCCCCACTGCTAACCCGAAGGGTAGGGCTGTGTAATCGAACAAGGTTCCTTCCCATTTGAACCTCAGAAATTTTCTGTGGTTTTGACTGATGGACAAAATTGAATATGCTTCCTTTAGATCTATTTTTAGCATGAAATCGCCCACTTTTAGCAGGTCTTTGATCATGAACAAGCCCTCCATTTTGAAATGTTGGTACATTACATGTTGGTTTAATTGTTTTAAGTTTAACACTGGCCTTTGACCCCCATCTTTTTTGGGTAATAAGAACCAATTGCTTAGGAATTGATCCCTGCATGGTTTTACTGGTACAATGACTTCTTTTGTCAACATTTCTCTGACCTCTGTTGACATCAGGTGTTTTTCTTTTTGAGTGAGTACAGTCATTCTTGGATCTTTCAGTTGTATTGGACGTGACTGAAAATTTACCTCTTCATTTTGGATATCTTTTAGTATCTTTTTGTCTGAGGTGATTATTTCCCAGTTCTTTACAAAATGTTTTAACCTTCCTGCTATAGGAATGTGTTTTGATAGTGTCACTAGGTTTAGATTCTCCAATGAGATTAAAATATTGTTTGTTTTGTCTATATTTTTTGTGTGACAAAGATTTGAAACAAAATTTAACATACCTGATTCCACCTCTTTTATTTCCTCTGTGAAAACCATTTCCACGGGAGTTGCCTCTGCCTCCTGAGTTTCTTGCTCCCTGTGAATGACTCGGAGGCCTTGACTGAAAGGGCGGTTTGTCTTGATGAGATTCCTTTGGTTCCCATCGTTGAATTTGTTGCACCTGACGAGGTGTGTCATAGTTGATCACCTTCTTCTTGTGACTCTTTTTCTTTCCTCCGAGAGTTAATGCCATTTCGGAAGCTTCTTTTTTTGTTTTGCTCCATTCCTTCAGCTCTTCCTTGAATTCACTTCCAAACAGATGTTTGTCGTTTTTCGCTAAACATTCCTGTTTTTCTCTAAGAAGTGATCTAGCCTTCTTTGAATCTTGATTGTTTATTCTTTGAAGGATTGACAAACGTCGCTGATAATTTATTGCAACATTAGATTGTCCTACCAAACAAATTGTTTTCTCTAACAGATCAAGAATTTGACGGAAGTCAACATTTTCAACATGCGCCTGCGCACTAGGATCGTCACACCCCTTATCGATTTTTGATCGAATATCTTCAAATAACATCCATAAGTTACCATGAGGCCCCATGGTGTCTATAAGCTTTGTCTGAATACTGACGAAAGCTTTATCCAACTGCGTATTTGTACTACGACTTTGTTCTTCCATAATAGAGTAAATCAATGGATCATTAGATCTGATAGTAAAGCCCTCGTATGATGGGACGGGCATCGAGTTCAAAATTAATTCCTGAACTTTATGTGAAGGAATAAATCTATTGAAATTGTCATCAAGAAATAATTCCATATCTTTGGAAAACTGGAGTCCTGTTTTTTCCTTCTTGTGAGGATTAAAACGATGATAACTTTTGTTGCCGTTCTTTTCACTGTATGTTAAATTAGATACAGTTTCACTTATAACGGACCTTACTTCTTTGTCCGACTCAGAATCGGAAGAAAAGTCATCCTTCTTTGAGGATTTTTTGCTTTTTCTGCCATACTTTGTGGTTTTAGATTTTTTCCTTCTGTGGGAATAATCATCGCTCTCCGACTCCGAAGAATCAGAAGGAAAATCACGCTTGGCATACTTTGGCCGTTTCCTTTTCTTCTTGTGTCTTTCAGTCAAACTATTGTCACTTTGGACATATGACTGCGAAAGACGTGCTTCTTCAATGTCGACCGTGTGGTCAACATGGAGTTCGTCGGGTAAATCACCAGAAGCACTATTGTCTTCTAATGAAACCTCGTCATCTTTTAAATCACTCATGACGACATTTCAATATAAAATCCCGGCGAAAAAATCAAATAAATCCCAAAATCCACTAAAGTAAAACAACAAAAACAGTTTGTTAATAAGCAGGGAATTTCTTGGAGCTCTTCACTCGACGCTAGCCAGTAAGAGATTGAGGAAATGCACGTGGAACATGCATTATCATAGGGATTGGCTAGTCAGGCTGCGTGCGCAGCAAGAGATAACACTTTCATATCTTGTTGAGGTTATGATATGAAATTTCCTTGAGTATGTATG